TTCTATGCAATCGGTTTTCATCCCTCTCATGTCTGTTTCCAATGTTCGGCGTAATGTGTTTGTTGGTCTTCCTCCTTTCATGTACCGCCTGTGGCCCCTCCGGCGTTGCTACCAGTCGGAAGTCCTTACGAAGGAGTAGGGTTGGGCGTGGGGTCAGCGACCCAGTTCTTTAGCAGAGTGACTTTCCAAGCAAACGCTGACCAGAAAAAATAAGTGAAACCAACAATAATTATAATTCAACCTAAATTGTAGTTGACGCTTCCAATTCTCTGCATGTTGTGTTCATTGGTCTTCCTTCTTTCCTTTGGCCCTGAGGATTCCAAGAGCGGGCTTGTCTTGTTATGTGTCTTCCTCGATGCGTCCCGGCTACTTTCAGCTCTTCTTCCTGGTTTCTTCTCATTCTGTAACCTGGTTTGTTAAGTCTCACAGTAGGTTGCTGTCGACGGCTATCTTGAATTCATTGAGTTCGACAGTATCCCAAAGAAAGGTCGTATTTTGCTTTTAGCATCCACATAGTCATCACTGATAGGCGCATAGGAGCGGAAGATACTCATTGTGATCTCCTTTTTCTTTGTTTTTAGGGATCATTTGATGATTCTAGGTCTATGAGATTCCCATCCATTAAGTGTTTTTGCGCTTGTTTGAACTACATCGATTCAACTTGTTTTCTATGCGGTGCATTTTATTCTTCATGGCGGGAGTATAACAGCGTCTCTCTGGAAGATTTTGTTTTGTCCAACCTGCATCCTATGCGTTTCGCTTATTCCATGTACATTTAAGATGTATCTTCTCATTTATTCAGTGATTTCGAGCAGTCTCCTGGTCTTCCACATTGTCCGAAAATTCCGTGGACCTATATTAGCAGCATTGGCTTCATGATGTCCGAAGAATCTTAGCTTTCATCATGAGATCTCACAACTCTTCTAAATGAAGACTTTCCGACTGTTAGGGTCGAGTTTTGTATGAAAATGTGTCAGTAACCCGGTGCATAAACCCCATAGTTTTGTCGGTCTTGGGAATATCAGTAACCACAGAAGTGTTCCAGGCGATCTACTATCTCCAAAACCTTTAATTTTAACCTGTAATCCTTTGTTCTCTTTAGTTCAGTGATTTAAACCAGATTCCAGTCGAGGAAGATATCGTGGGGAAGCGCTGGAAGTGGACGTGACAAAAACTGAATTAAGCACTTAAGTACCTTACAAGACAATCCCTCACCTGGAATCCTCAAGGCCAAAGGAAAAGAGGATCGTCGAGTAATGGAGATGGATAAGAGAAAAATAAACAACAGTTGGACAGAACTAGGAGGGAAGGCCAAGTACAGAGTAGGTTAAGAAGTGCTGGTCGGCGGCTTATGCTGCACCAGGGGGTAGCAGTCATTAAAAGGTGCGTAATAGTTCAGGGGTTCATTCTTCTGCATATATAAGTCTGCCATTTGTATCATTATTCATGTTGGGTGATATTGGAATTGCTTTAAAATTTTCATCCCATAGCATCTTGGAATGAAGTGAAAGAGGCGATTGCTGTATCGCAGTAAGTTAGTTCCTATTTTATAATTTAATATTCTCGGATTAATTCTTTGCAGGCCAAATAAATTTCAAGCCTAATTATGTTACATATGGATGGGCAGTACTTCACTAGAGTCCGTAACATGGGTCTCAGATAACAATGGGTAAGGTTTCTTGTTATGATGGGGCTTTCCAGTTCAGTGTACAAGATTATAAGCCCAGTCCTTCATCGGCATTTACTTTGAGAGATCATTCAGTATCTAAATGCATTTGTTAGTAACATTAGCGGTGAAATTCATTGCCAGACAACAATGTCATTTAATCGGGAGTTATCTATTCGTGGGTTCTTATTCATAACTTTCCAATCATGGTCACTTACCTCGACTGATCAGTCATATCTGATTGTAGAACAAGCCACAGTACGAGAAATCATATGCAGAAATTTAACGCGTTTCAGAATTTTACAAGGTATTTTACGAATGAGATATTGTTTTTCTCCGTCTACACAAATATCTGTATTGAAGCGGTTATGGTTGAAAATGACTGACAAATTATGGATTTATTCGTTTAACCTACAACTCTGAAAAATAGCGTAACTTTTGTCGAAAACCTTATACATCTATCTTTCATGAGCGAAAAAAGATTGTTTACAAACATGTTCTTGGCTTTTTATATATATAAAAAGATGGAATAAATTAAAACTGTGAAGTTGGTTATATTAAGTTTTACACAAAACTTCTGTTATACTCGTTTTTGTAGTAAAATAGACAGCCAAATAATAATAATTTATTCTCAAACAACAATGTATTGTATGAGGCAAGATGAAAATGTTAGAATAGCTTACATACTTTCTGTAAAATGTAATTAGGTTCGATATATATTTCATAAGACACATTAGCTTTTCGTAGAGGGCTAATGTTTTTCACAAAAAATGATCTATTTCAGAATATGGAATGTGCATTACAGTAGTCGACACGAGTCATGTCGTTTGTGCAGCAACGAACGAATGATGCTTGAGAGTCAATGCAAGCTAAATCCACGTCAACATATAACGAAAATTGATGGGGTGTATGCAAAAATCTTATTGTTGAGATTCGTCAGAACATAACTTGACAAGCTCCTGGGTTAGGCAACTGTAAGTTCCTGGGAATACCAAGGCTATTGTTCAAGCCGTTGAAAGAGGCGCTGAAAAAGAGAGGGAAAGAGAAACGGACGAGGAGCGAAACATAAAATATCCCCATTTAAAGCTCAGTCAGGACTCAAAAGATGCTATTTTCGGATAAAACAAAGTTATTCTTATTCAGACCTTTCTTTTTCTGTAATAAAACACTAACTGTACACCTTCACTTATGTAGGCTAATGAAGACACGTCATTGGTTTTATATTTTTGATACTTTTGCTCTTTTAACAGAGTTGATGAATCAGCCAAAAATGAGCTTTTTTTCAATCTTAATTGCCTGGATTAGCCAGTAATAAGATTTCTTTGTAGGGATTGAAGCCGGTTCAAGGTTACAAACACTAGTCGTAGACGTGGTTGACTTGGAAAAGTGATGACAGTAGCATGGATCAGTTAAATCGTGGCATATTGTAAGAAGCCGTAAAGAAAAAAAGTATCCTGTCCGAAAGACATGTGCAGATTGAGATTATTGCCCTACGGTCATGATTTCTGATCGGATACACCGCCCTTCCTCCCTTTGTGATGCTACGTTCTCTTAAGTTTGTGTTGTGTTTCAATAAATGTTTTTGTCTTGGCTCTATTTCTAAGCCTCATCGGAATACACTGTTTCAAATAGATCCATTTCACAAGCAGGACAGACAATTTTAGCTTCAGTAAATTGGACTATATATGCAAGCATTATATCACATCGCTGTTATGTTAACTAATGGCATAAATTGTAGGATATGGGTCAGTTAATAGGTAGTTTGAAGATCGAAAGGATAGGCAGCCGAAGAAAGAATATAGAGGAAAATAGTGTCAAAAATTCATGAGTAAGGCAATAATTAAGTCAGAGATCAAATTGTCTGAAATTCGGTAAATTGGTGAATTAAAAATTTATTAAATTGTCAATAAAAGAACGAGAAGGAACTGACAGTGATACGGTTTACTTTGGGTTCGTTGTGATGGACATTAGTTGAGCAGCACTTACGTACCTTTAAATTAATGTGTCTACTAAAAATAGAAAGTGAAAGTGCTGTGAAAGACGAGAAGATAATGTTGCGAATTTAAACATTAATAAAACTCCAAATTTTAGGGATAGGAACAAAAAAGCTTGACCTACTTCAGCTAGTAGAATTATGGGAATATATCCATCACTTTTTGATGCTTGCATGACTGGTAATCTAATGAGGGTGAAATATATACACGGCCTGGTAATAGTATCTAGCTTTAGAGTAGAAACTAGGTACCTTAGAACCTGGTGCAAGTCCCAGAAATAGTTGCTAAATCTCTTCAGAGTTTAACAACAACGTTGAGGGTTCCTTGAACTTGGCACTTGTGTTACAGATACAGAAAGAATTTGGTAGTCTGTTCCACTATAAACTGTATCGTGTTACAAGGAAATTGCCACGCAACAACTTTTTGTGTTTTGCACTCAGTAGCGTACATCACCAAAGAATTAAATCAATGTGCCTTCCTTATTAGGTTCTGTATATCAAAATGCTTCCTGACAGTTTAGTCCTTTAGAATCCCCTCTGTTTATAAGATGAGTTGCCCATTCGTTATCTTACTAGTGACGTGTCTTCATTAGTCTATATAAGTGAATCATTTTTTCGTTGAAACGCAAACATCGTGATTTATGCCAACTATACTATCGTTCATTACTGAGTCTGAAGCATTATCTATAATTTTATGTGAAATGTTTTAGCTATCTATAAGAAGCCAATGTATCCAGTGAAATATTTATGTAGATGAACAATTTTTTCCGGAAAACAATTTAGGAATTTTAACATTTAGATCATGCCTGTAGATTGGTGTGCCTCTTGTAACATATTATTATTTGAGAATAAATTACTATAAATTTATACGTTGTTTCTGAGGCTATATACAGTGGCAAACGCTTTATACGGGCTATGCTGAGATGATAATCAAGGTTCTGACTAGAATAAAAATTCTCAGTAGGCAACTGTATTCCTCAGTCATTAAAGTTACTAACGACTTACACCCTCATTGGAAGTTCGCTCTCTAATATCTCCATAGAGCGCAATCTCGGTTGAACAGTCGTAAATAACCATAACTACTAAAAGTGTACTTTGATGACGAGAACGGGATTGGTTTAATGGAAACATGTATTATTTTAACCAACTGTACCAAGGATTGTTTTACTGTACCTCTTTGTTTAACTGTACCAAAAACACATCTTCCTCTTATCGTGACTTTGAGCTTGCTCACCCTCACTCGATAGTCTCCTTGGTAAACCTTGACACGATCTAAGTATTGCTTTCATACCACGAGATCGCCAACAAATATACCCTAACTCTTATTACGACTGCCCTTCTGATCGTCAGTTGTACGAGAAGCGTGTATAACAGTTGCCTTTTTATCTCAAGAAATTCGTAATCGTTTTGATCGATTCGCTGAAGGTATTTTACAAACAATTATTGCGCTATTATCAAATAGCGCTAAAGTTATGGCAACTAGTGGAGTGGTTGCAATGCGATTTATCTTAGAGAATACATGCTCTTCTCGTCTTCTTCCCATTCTCACTTCTTCATTATCATCCAAGTCTAATATTACCAGAAAATGCATTTGTGAATTCTTAGAAATCATTTTTCGAACTTGGCCGGTAAATATTCTTGAAAAAAATCTCCCTGTATTACAAGATGCATTAAAACGAGGTATTTCAGATGCAGATCAAGAGGCTCGATTGTTTTCTCGACGTTCATTCCCATTATTTGTTGCTAAATTTCCGGAACAAGCAAATTTATTTCTACAAAATCTTGATGTACAAAAACGTAAACTAATTGAAAAAGATTTAATTGCTGCAGGTTTATCGGATGACATTAGTGCCGGGGATACTAGTACAACTGGATCATCAAGGAATCAGTCTAGTAATAGTATTAGTAGTAGTCAATCGAATCCACTTTATCAAAGTACACGTAGACCAAATCGACCTGTACTAGGTACTAGTTCATTAGCCAATAATACAAATCGTAATCGTCCACCATTGACCAGTCAAAATGAATATAATACCGTTGGTCGGTATTTCCGTCAACGATCAATAGCTTCAAATTATGACGGTCGTCCACGTCCAGCTGGTGGGAAAATTATATCACAATCACAGCCTACAAGTCGTGAAGTTTCACCATCACGTCTAGCCTATTTCGCTGCCTATGGTAATGCTGCACCTAATAATAATGATACACAAAAATTACAATTCAATACAGCTAACACTAGTCGTAATGGTACAGTAGGATTGGTGGATAGTAATAATGCTAATACTACTACCACTGGACGTCCTACACGTGTAGGCATGAATTCACGTGTTCCACGTAGTCAAGGTGCTAGTCGAGAAGCTTCGCCTACAAGATCTACTGCAAGCGGTTATGCTGGACCTCCATATCAGTCTAATAATAGTTTTCAATTATCCGGCACAGGTCAAATTGGACAAATGAGTTATCGGCGACAACAACAACAAAGACCATCTCTTGGTACTCTAAGTGATTGTGCAGATCTTGGCGATGGACCTTTATATGGTCGACATTATTCAGTCGGTAACAGTCGTGGCCCATACGGTTCAGATGATAATTTCAGTGAAACATCCGTGTGTAGAGAGACTTAACCTGACCAATGGCATCATACTGTCTCAACTATGTAGGGGACTCAACCAAGGCTAATGCAACTCTTCACTTTATGCAAATTCAACTTGGTGATATCGCCCCAGGATTATTCTCAATTGTTTAAGACATATGCGCCCCCATACCTTCAGGTTTACACCATCGTCGCAACCGCTCTCCTTGAAAGACACATAAATCTCTTGGATCCAGTGCAGCGACAAGCAAACAAATGGGTGGCATCGTTGAGGAATAAAGCTTAAGAAGATAGATCCCAGCACTTGGGATTATTTTCTGTGAGTTACAGTAGAATCAGAGGTGATCTGAAAATGGTGTACAAGATATTAAGCACGCCAAACCATCCCAACGCGAGCATCTTACTGAAGCAACACGACCACGCCCATTGAGGTTCGTTCACACTTTTTATCACTGCTAATCACTTCAACTTGGAATGCTTTCTCAGCCTAGGTGACTTAAGCCCCCTCAATGTACGACTAGAAGAAGGGACATGATGAACACGTACTCATATACAGATTAACATCTCCCTAGTGGGCCAGCTGTACCCGATGCATGTCTTGAGACCTGTTGGTTGTTACTATTTCCATCTCCTCAGATCACCAACTTCAGCCATCCCACTCTTATCTGTGATACCTTTCCGTAGCTTACATTTTGGTCCTCTCTCACAGCCTTCACCACTAGTGAATAAACTAAATTATCCATTTATTTAATCTGTTCTGACACCTTCTTATTAGCGTCAGACATTTCTCATTATTATTCTGCTCACTGCTATTAACTGACCTCCAGCCTGACAACGTGATAGCTGCCAGTATCCAGAAACCCTAATTCCCTTAAACTAACGTACTCATTCAAATCACAGGACATGAAAACTCATAAACAACTGTCAAACGGCTAGAATTAGTTTAACCGAGTGGCTAGACCACCATCCATTGGACACTATCAACTACCACAAACCGTGTAGAATCTCGGCGTATCTGGCTTCTTACTACTATGAACGAGATTTGTATAAGTATGATACACGGAAATGGATAGGAAGATTTGGTTCATCACATACTTGATCATTCGTTCACACTGTAGTCCAGTGGTGAGCTGCTAAAACCTTATCGAAAGAACAAGAATAGACAACAAAGCAATCAATTGATTTATAATAGATCGCGAAAGGCATTAGAAGGCTAAGTGAAGTACAAGGATGAATCGTGAGCTGTTCATGATATGTGACTTGACTAATGTGCGTTGATTGTTCTCGACTTTGGAAAGGTTCGGTAAACTTCTCAACACTCCTTGACCTGTCTGAATAGGGTTTGGCTGAGGCTGAACCACACTCAACTGGCATCAAAAACTGCCTTACAAACTTAAATCATGAAGTTCAAGAAAAAAAGGCCTGGAAATATATGCTTACAAAGATACTGGATTATCAAAAGATTATATGTGCTAGTTGAATTTAAGTCTCAAAGCGCTTGACTCAACTTTTTGAGGTCGTCTGCTGTTAGCTACTTGAGTTGGTTAGTTGGTATAAGGACAGAGCTTTTGCCATGAATTTCATGCGGAAACATTTAACTAAAAACGCTAACAAAGATACTAACTTGCCTGTATCTTTCGACTGTCGCAGACTAACATCACTTTTCAATCAGTACATACACGCTCAAAACAATGATAATAAAGATATTATTTTATACAACACACTCCCATACTTCTGCAAGGTTGCCTATTTTCTATAAATTTAATTTAAATTTAGGTTTTTCACGATGCCCAGCCCGTCGACTTTGTCGATAAATTCCCAGATATACATATATTTTGTGCACGTATCTCCCAACTGTTTGTGCGTGAAATTAAGTCCAGAGCAGCAAACAAGTCTTCAGGTACTCAAAAATTTGTTTATCTTGTTTTTTTAGAGGAAGGAAGTCTTACTATAGCCCAGTTTCTTGAACCGGATGAGAACATCGGGGATTGTATGGAAGTTACCGATTCTGAGCATGCTATAATCACTAACAAAGGATCATACCTACTAAACTCTTTGAATTTGATGAGCACTGGACATGCCAGTTTAATTGAATGCATGGCGGCCGCTTCAGTACCATCTACGTTGGTTAAATGCTTGTACATATTCCTCGATCTTCCTGAAAAATACTCCACTGGATGTAAATTCCATTCAAAGTTCCGAGAAGTATGTCATGATTCACATAAATTCCTCTTCCTCGTACGAATATTTTTCTAATGTATGCTTTTGAAAGTAGGCTGTCTAATTGTATTTAAAATACATGAACACGTTAGAATCTACAAATTCAAGATTAATATTAGTTTCTTACGGTTCCTCAGACTATTAGTAATGATTCTCATACCTCGTGCAGTTGTCACTATTTTTAAAGCCTTCAGCACGTACTTTCCAACTGCGTACAAGGTTACGGTACAGTATATACTTATTCTTTAACTAGGATTGATCGGTAGAATATTAATGGGCTCATTTTAATTACTTGAACTGTCATTGATTACAGTGCTATGTTATTTTCTGTCTGCTACGTTGGAAAAAAAGTTATTTGACTCAAGGTCTAAACCGTATCGGAAGTGCAGGATTTATGACTTGAACTAACAGTAACGTCAGTGAATCAGTTACAACGTAGAACTTCGTAAGTTTAGGTTTCCTTGCCACATTAGCACAGAGACGCAATCGCCACTTCAAATCCTATAGTGGTAGAGCTAGTAGAAGTATTATCGCTAATGGAGAAGATCAAGGTTCGGACGTATTATTCAAGAAGTGTGATTCACTGAGAAAAATTTCGAAAGAGAAAGATAGGTGATGAAGAATTCAGAAGATTAGAAGTTGAGAGAATATGAAGAGTGGGTGCACCTGTGCTATTGCAAACGATTTAGAGCCATGTCCTCTCAGGTCTCTAGTCATCGGTTACTCTCATCTCGCGGACCCCAACCGGATAGTCGACTAAATCTAGATTTCAATGACTTCATGGATTTGTGCGATGTTTTTGGTTTGGCCGTCCCTAGCCTTCCTCCAACCTACTCCTACATTGCAAAACATCTCTCGTCGATGCAATTGGTGGTTAGTCATTGGTAACACATATCCCAGATACTCAACTGATTAAGTTTTTTTAATACTTCATCTGCTGATCTGCCATCCTTACCCAGTACTCGTTTCCTAACAACTGCATTGTTTACTCGACTGTCTCAGGATAAACGAGCAATGCTTTGGAGACACCTACGATTAAAAACCAGTAACCTGCGAATATCCTTTACTCTTACTGGCGATGTTTGGCATTCGTATGTTAGGATGGAGCGAAGTGCTGCTCATTAGATGCGTCCTTTGGTTAGCGAACAGATATCTCGCCTACACCGTGAGTGACACAAGTTGGCAGAAGTCGATCGAGCCTTCGGTGTCGGTGCTGAGATTTCGTCAGTGACCATGCTATCATCACTGATGAGACTTTCGGTATAAATGAAGCGGTTGACACGCCAAACCACTTCACTGCCTATCACTAGTTCAGATGTCGATGCAGCCCAATCCTGAAACGACATATTGCATTTTGAGGGAGAGAATCTCGTCCCGAACATGCTTTCTTGTTTGCTGAGGATAGTCAGAAGACTCTGCATTTTGTCAGTGTCTTCACTAAGTAGAACTATGTCGTTGGCATATTGTAAGTCAACAAGCGAGTTTCCTGGTAGAGAAGGTCAACCACTGAAACGTCAGACGAAGATAATGTTAACTCGAATAGCCTGTCTATGATAATGTTAAAGAAGAGGATGGAAAGTGGACATTCTTGACGGATCCTACTTGAAGTAATGAATTTCGGTGACAGTTCTCCATAAGCTGTAACTCTACGTGTAGTGTTTGTGTAGAGAGCTTGTATAGGTTTAATGTACTTTTTTTAATAAAGGACACTGTCACAGGAACTCAGGATCCACAGAGTGAAATGCTGCCTTAAGGTGTGGGAAGGCAACTATTGTCGGACGGCTGAATGTGTTTCTTTGTTTCAGGACGTGTCTTAGTGTGAAAATGTGGTCTATACATCCACGTCCAGGTGTGAAACCACACTTTGTTTCTTTAGTTTGCTCTTCACTAGTTGTAGTTAGGCGTCTAAGTATTATGGAGGCTAACAATTTGAAAACTACATTGGTTAGACTGATTCCTCTGTGATTATGACAAGAGGACTTTTGTTGTTTTTTGTAGACTGGGACAATGAGGGATTGAGACTAGTTGGATGAGATTATGCCCAGTTGCCAGATTCTACGTAAGATCTCAGTCAATCTAACTGCTGAAACTCGACCACCATCTTTAAAATTCCCAGGGGTCAGTCTGTCAGACGCTACTGCTTGCCGTCGCCTCAGATTTCCTATGGCTTTCTCGACATCGTAAGGTGTCGGAGGACTTATATCGATTTGCCATTGATGTTGACTGGAGGACGTGGGCACCGAAAGTGTGGCTGAAGGTCAGTCAAACTGATCACTAGAGTGCTCTGCCCATCGATCCATTGTCGTGGATCGAGAATGAACAATGAGCCCATTGTTTTCCGAGTTAGTCTCATTAATAATCGGCTTTCTAATCCCGATTTCATTGATAAGGTTGAACAGTTGTTTACTGTCGCCTATCTCTGCTGCCTTTTCCATTGCTCTTGGTATCACCTCCCACCACTCTTCACGATCATTGCTTATCAGTAATGTTAAACCTGGTGTACGTAGATCCTTGTTAAGATGAATTCCTCTTGACCTACTTTTAAATCCCAACATTGTCTACTTAGTTTCTTTGCATGTTTTTTCCCTTAGTATCCTGTTTAAAGGTGTTACAACTATCATCAATGATTTTACATTTTCATACAAGTTTGTATATTGGTAATTACTATTTCACAATAAGCGAGATATTAATTTTCATTATGTTTTGTAACTATAGTTATTTTTGTACTATTCAGCTACTTCAACGGCTGTGTTTGTATCCTGTAGTAGCCGAAGAATTATCGCGTAAAGATGCTTTGTGTCATCTTTTCAATGCTTTAACAGATTGGTGTGCACCTCATAATGCTCCTTGGAGAATGACAACCACTGTGATATTATCTACAATCGCCCAGAATTCTCTAACTCCTATTGTAACAAAACGCATACATGGTGAGTTACTTAAAGTTCTTATTTCTGTACTATGTAATCCTTAAAGGTTATACCGCACGTGGTTTGAATTCTCAATAAGATAGGATTATTTAAGTTACAATTTAAATTTATTGGTACTATAGCGTTATCTTATGTATAAATAAATCAATCCTGAATGTAAATTCATCGAATTACGTCTCGGTATGGCGGAGAGAAAATGAGAGCTCATAGCTTTCCGTTGAATTCTGAAGTCTTAAAGTGAAAACAGAATGTAAGTAGTCTTGGGAATGTCTTATATAAAAATTAGTACAGAGTTCATCATTGGTATCATTTGTCCTCAACTGTGTTTTATGCTTGAATATTTGTAATACAATATTCCATCTTCTGTACTTTGATTTTAATCATTTCAAAAATACTACGTCATTATCCTGGTTTCAGATTCGGAACATATTCGTCATTGTCTTGAGAATTTCTCTGAAAGCAAATCAGGTTCGAAAGAATTTGTTAACGGTTTCGTCTCACTACTACATGTTATTCGAGAATCATCTGTTAATGACCAAATTCTCTTGGATGATTTCCGCAATAATAATGGATACCTCGTACTGAGTGACTTTTGTCTCAAGTAAGTTACTTTGTTGGAAAAAGACATTTTATTGAGTCGTTCTTATTGTTTAGAAAGTTTATTTCAAAACTCATCTTGATCTGTTTATCGTAAGGTTTTTGTTCTCTGACAAGTCTTTTGCATTGGTTTTGAAACTAACAAGTCTAGATGAAATACTAAATATATTAAAATGGAAATAAAATGCTTTACAACCAAACGATGTTTTTCTGCATAGTACTTGCACACCAGGGCTAGGTCGTGAAAGTCTGGGTAAACATATGCCTCTAAAGATATGGTGCTAAGAAAGTATTTTCAACCTAGTGGTTGGGCAAAAGGATCAACGAGTACATTTAAAAAATACAGGAGAACGATTATACAAGCATCAATCGAAATCAGGATTAGATTAACAGTTATTTATAGTTTATTTGAATTTAGGTTGATGATGTTTGTTATTCTGGTATATGAGCTTAAAGCATACAAGTATACAAACCTGTATTTGTCTAAAAACGTACATTGGCTGCAAAACCCCCATTCATGTATTATTTCAATCAATGTGTAATTCGATTTTTTGGATTTTACTAAATGTTTTCTTAGGGGGTATTAGTTGTTATTCGGACAATTGTTCTGTCTTTGGTAATTTAATTAGCCGATGGAACACAAAGAGCAATAATAACAAGTTTTTCAACTCTAGAAGTAAAGAATAAATGCCTTAAAATAAACCCGTTTTTGAGTTGTTGTGGAGCGCATGTTGCGAGAGTCCAATTTCCGTCTTCGCTAAATAGCACTTCCACTCGTCTAAAGTGTAAGTTTTTTGTGCTTGATATCATAGTTAGTTGTAGATTGTAATTCAAAAATTCTTAGTTTCTATTCTAATCGTGAAATTCACCATCCGTGGTTACTTTAAATTTAACATGTTCAGTCAGTCAGTTACAACGTAGAACTTCGTACAAACGTACGTCAGTTCAAGTTGCCATACCACATTAGCACAGAGACAGAATTTAACATGTTATACGTATCCAAATAGTTTTACATGTTTTAAGTGCTTTGTTTTTATTTCTTTTAATTAGACTCGAGGAAAATCGATCTCCAGACTCTGAAGTCTCCTTAGAAACTCTTTTAGATCTTGTTGGTCAACTGGCCTCCTGCGGCCCTGTAGAACTTCGTCCTAAGGCAGGGGCTGGAGAGCAAATCCATAAAATTCCAGGGTTTCGCATCCACATGCCGAAAACTCAAGGTATATTCTGTATTTCCTTAAAAGTTTTACATGTAGAATTACTGAACTGTACATATTAATATGTTTATCCGTGATGGATAATTAAGAATCTCGCTCAAAATTCAACATTAGTTTCTCTTTCTTATGCTCACTTAATGAATATTTACCGAACATTCAGAAGTTGCGGTAACCATACATTTAATTGGAAAAAATCGGTTCCTGTTCCATCTACCTTTTTTTCATTTTTACCACACATAAATGAATTTTAACCTCAGTTTAACTACATGCAAACACTTGATTGTCAACTACTATATTAGTCCAAATTAATCGTCGTTTGATAATAAGTTCGTCAGTTTAGATATATTCTTCATGTGTATAATAAAAAAAAACATTTTCAAATTAGTCTTCAACTGATGAAATTGAACTTACGCATATACATGAGTTTCTTTGACAAATCAGAGTGAACATATCGTTTCATTCAGTCGCAGACAGCTATAATTGTGGATGCCTTCAGTTGATAACAAAATTTTTCTAGACTTTAGTTAACTACTTTTAGATTTGTCCCATCATATCACTTAAGCCTAGTTTCTTGAGACTATATATATATATATATTCATAGATTACGAGTGTTAAATCACATGTATGCTACTCCGTATATTGGGACAACTAAGTAAGTAATGATAATATAAGAATGGCAAATCTGTTGGTGAGGTAATTACGCTTCACTGACTGAAGGGATTGGAACATTTACTATATAGGCCAAATCATCTACCTTGACTCATGGTGTGTTGAAGTAGGTTAGGAAATAGCTATGGGTAGCCAAATCAAGGTATAACATCATTCCGTAAAGTCACTGATTATAGAACTAAAGCGTTTCGGTGGATGTAGGCCAACTTATCGGTGTCTAGACAGTTTTTATAGCCAATATTTGTGGACTTTAAGAGACCTGGGACCGAATAATTCACTCTCTCTTAAAATGCTTATACTTATTCTTTAAATGCATTCTCTATGAAATTATACTCCAGGTCTAATGTTTTCTACTACCACTGATACTGTTATTACTTCTATTGCCCTGGGGGTACATCTTGACGATTTTATTTCTTTATAGTAATATAATGTGGCAGTTTTAAAGGATGCGTGTGTGTGCCAGTTCCTAAGTTACATTTGACCGACTGATTTTCTCCTTATCCTTTCTACTATCATTACCAACCTTCATCTAAATATTATTTTAGCATAATCTGAAATAGGTTTTTCTTTTTCTGCTTCGTCATCTGTTTACAAAGAGACATCATGCACAAGTAAAATGGGTTTCATGTTTTTTATGCGTATTAAGTATCAACTATGAAAGCTAAGCTCATAAACTTGTCATTATAGCAAAATTAGTTATCGTTTATTGTATAATCTATCACCTGTCTGGTATCTGTTCACTGATAAACTAAATCTTAGATTGATTTTTTTCATTCTGTTTACGTACTTAGGTTAGTCAAATTGATAGTTACAAATTCAGTTAATAAGTAATTTATTGTTTCCTGATTTTATCACAGCCAGAAAAAGTGTACGTAACATGTATGCATTTGATGTACTGCAATCGCTGTTCAACAGCTCTTCAACAAATAATCTCGGTTTGCTTGTTTTGAAGACGGTCCAGTCAATTTTTCTCCAGGATTTATCAAATTATTTCATTTTAGAACAGCAAAATATACTGGTTGCCTTTGCCAAAAAAATATTTGAAAAATCATATGAAATTCAGGTTAGACATTTCTATCAATAATTATGGCCTTCTCATGAATTGCTTTGTATATGTGACATACACGCAAATGATACATGTGTAGATGAGCAGAATTATTCACACAATTATATTTAATTCATTGTTTCATTTTGTTGCGAACATCAAATATATGTTGTTTGTTGAAATGGACAATCTATATTATGGCATATTATTTTATTTTAGTGTTGTTGCATTTCTTGAACTGGTTGATTTAATTGCCAAGTTTTCATTGTCGTTGTGGGCAAATATTATCAATTTCTAATTCAAGTAGACGTGAGCTCACTTGACTAATAATAATAATAATAAGCAGTTTTTTACTTTTAATAGATTTCAGAATGAATTGTTAAGCGTACTCTTCACCGTTGGGAACCAGTTCACATTGTAGTTTTGATATTCTATTAAAATGAGAAATGTTTACCTTCATCTAACTAGTCTTTATACTTACTAAGGATAAGTTTATTGATAACATTTTACATGTCAATAACTAAGCAAAAGATTATTGATACTTTACTGACATTTTAATGTTTAGAATATCAAGTCTGTTTTCTTCATTTTTATTCTGGTTTGAACAGGAGTTGACTATTACTAACTCTAGCCTTTCTTTTATCGGTAGTTTTCTTAAATGTTCATATCAAAAGAAACGACCACTTGAAAGTAGTTTTGTTGTAAATTGTTACGTTTACATTTGCTTGTAGTATGAATTTTTTGATTTCTAAATCAATTGTTATTCTATTTCTTTTTTTTTTTTCATGCCAGGAGGCCTATTTTGATTTACTTGAAGTGCTGGTGAAAAAATTACACTATGTATTCATGAAAGAAATCAGCAGTATTGTCGTTCAAATGAAATTATTTAAGTTAGTGGATGTTTGATTAGTTACTTATTTTATCATTTATCTCATGAGGATACAACTAGAGGCTAAAATAAAGTGTAGGCTTTGGAGTTATTTCGAAATTTCTCTCATAATAATAAATCAAACTTGATTCGAAAATATTTAGTCTAATGTCAAGTGCTTAAACCGGTCTATCGGTCTGTGACTTTTGAGTACCTTCATTCTGTTATCGACTTTGTTTAAAAAATTTTATCACTATTTTACTTTGTATTGAGTTGTTCGTATGCGCTTAAAAATATTTCTCACCAAAGAATAATAGTTTGTTGGTTGTTATTTTGGTATTGAGTCAGTGATCGCCATTACTTGATTGAAGGATTACAATTCTCTGTGCATTGAATTAACATTTGTTATTTTAGGGGTTAGTTGGGTCATTTGTAACAAAAAAAAATTAACATTCCCTGGAAGTATGTCAAATTTATGAATCTGACTTTTTGACGACTTGCTTTATGTATCTTGAAAGTTATTTTTATAATGGCCAATTGTTTATGCAGGGTTGAATTGGAACAAATAATATCACAGTTAAAAAATGAGATAAACTATGGATCTCTGTTTTACGGTTTAATGCGTAAAAAATGGTACACCGCTTATTATTTTATTAGTGAAGTGGCTGGTATACAGTGTTGCAAAATCAAAACACATTCCATCGTTGTACGTGGTCCGTTGGTTTAGAAATTCACTATTCAACTAATTCGAATTGCTCGCGACCTACATAGGTTTAAGCAGCCAAGTTTTGTTATTGGCTGTATTGCATGTATGGGGTTGTAGTGTATACTGTTTACTATGAAGCTTGTAAACATCTTGGTTATGATTAGATGCCAAGTCGGCATTATTTTAATTCCTCTTGGAACTACCATATGCTCAGTTATAATAGCTAGAAAATAGTTAAGCGTTCTTATTGGTATCGATCGAATTCCATGAAGGCTTTATGCTCATTAGTATACATACAAATATTTTGAAAAGTGCATGAATGCTCATTAAGATAGTGTGTGTTCTAATTCACTTTATTCATATCTGTTTAATTTCCAGCTTATCCCCTTCTCTTGTTATTGCCTATCGTCATTTTATTCAACTTCTACGAATCAGTCCAGTTTTTAAAGATGTTTTTCATGATGTTGGATTAATTGAATTGAGTGTAGATCTATTAAACTATTTCATTGATACGGTGGAGACGTATTCTAATCCTTCTACAATACCCAGTCCCGCATGTACGTTTCTTCATAGAAAAATTATTTCTTTTAAAATCTTCATTGTTTGTTTACAAGTTCTTTATAAATTTGTTAATAGAATATTTCATCCTTTTGATCTAATTATTGTTATTATCGGTACTAGTAATAAATAAGTCTTAAATGTCAGTCAGTCAGCTACAACGTAGAACTTCGTAAGTACGTACATCAGCTTAGGTCGCCTTACCACATTAGCACAGAGACGCAATCGCCAGTTCAAATCCTATAGTGGTAGAGCTAGTAGAAGTATTATCGCTAATGGAGAAGATCAAGGTTCGGACGTATTATTCAAGAAGTGTGATTCACTGAGAAAAATTTCGAAAGAGAAAGATAGGTGATGAAGAATTCAGAAGATTAGAAGTTGAGAGAATATGAAGAGTGGGTGCACCTGTGCTATTGCAAACGATCTCGAGCCATGTCATCTCAGGTCTCTAGTCATCGGTTACTCTCATCTCGCGGACCCCAACCGGATAGTCGACTAAATCTAGATTTCAATGACTTCATGGATTTGTGCGATGTTTTTGGTTTGGCCGTCCCTAGCCTTCCTCCAACCTACTCCTACATTGCAAAACATCTCTCGTCGATGCAATTGGTGGTTAGTCATTGGTAACACATATCCCAGATACCTCAAGTGATTAAGTTTTTTTAATACTTCATCTGCTGATCTGCCATCCTTACCCAGTACTCGTTTCCTAACAACTGCATTGTTTACTCGACTGTCTCAGGATAAACGAGCAATGCTTTGGAGACACCTACGATTAAAAACCAGTAACCTGCGAATATCCCCAACTCTTACTGGCGATGTTTGGCATTCGTATGTTAGGATGGAGCGAAGTGTTGCTCATTAGATGCGTCCTTTGGTTAGCGAACAGATATCTCGCCTACACCCTGAGTGACACAAGTTGGCAGAAGCCAATCGAGCCTTCGGTGTCGGTGCTGAGATTTCGTCAGTGACCATACCGACATCACTGATGAGACTTCCGGTATAAATGAAGCGGTTGACACGCTAAACCACTTCACTGCCTATCACTAGTTCAGATGTCGATGCAGCCCAATCCTGAAGCGACATATTGCAATGTGAGGGAGAGAATCTCGTCCCGAACATGCTTTCTTGTTTACTGAGGGTAGTCAGAAGACTCTGCATTTTGTCAGCATCTTCACTTAGTAGAACCATGTCGTTGGCATATTGTAAGTCAACAAGCGAGTTTCCTGGTAGAGAAGGTCAACCACTGAAACGTCTGACGAAGATAATGTTAACTTCGAATAGCCTGTCTATGATAATGTTAAAGAAGAGGATGGAAAGTGGACATTCTTGACGGATCCTACTTGAAGTAATGAATTTCGGTGACAGTTCTCCATAAGCTGTAACTCGACGTGTAGTGTTTGTGTAGAGAGCTTGTATAGGTTTAATGTACTTTTTTTAATAAAGGACACTGTCACAGGAACTCAGGATCCACAGAGCATCTCCATTGATGACTGATTTTGACGTGATCTAATTGGGTCCAGCTTTGGGACAACTTCGATTATCGCCAGTTTGAGATGTTTTTGCTGATGCCTAAAGTTATTATTTGCTTAAAACGGACGGTTATCTGAGCATAGCTGCTGTAGACGGTTACCATTATCTGTTCTTCGAGCCACGACACCGAGAGATCCACCCAGTTAGTCGTTCTACTTGAGCATTGATGTCATCAACCACCAATACTATATCAGGGCGTCTTACGTTCTGAAGGAGGTCCGAAAGCTTTTTGTAAAACTCATGTTTCACCTCGTCTGAACTGCAGTAAGTGAGAGCGTAGTTCGATACGACGACGAGGCAACAGCGAGCGCCCTAATGTCTTGTTTAGTCGGACAGCACACAAGCGACCATCTACTTGGATCTCTTCTAAGAGATCTAGTTCTGCTCTGGGACTCAATACTATACCTACACCAGCGAGTCCATAGGAGGCAGCATCAGGTCTTCCAGATACACGAAGAGTAAATCGAGTTGGTTCTTTATCTTGGCACGGTGAGGTAAAATGGATGACGCCATTTGGACACTGTATGCACTCTTAAAGTGGCTTTATCACCGATGACGGTAATCATTGAGGTAAGGTGCAGTGTGGCCTTTTTAGGGTCAAACGTTTCTAATCTGTTCCTTCCTTGTGAGAAGGTTACTTCGCTGCAGATCCTGATTGTCCGCGGAAACACATCACTACTTTCACACCTCTCTACAGTCAGCAGACCTTGATTAGCTGCTTTTAGTCTCATCGTTCTCAAATCGACCTACCTGGCATGGTAGAACCTAAAGAAACAGCCAATATAGCTCGGTTGGGTCATTACGATAGGCAAGCCCGACCACCATGTCAAAGTGGCAGCTACGGTTTGGAGAATTTATTACGTATATACACCAGTTCAAGTCGCCATACCACATTAGCATGGAGTTCCAATTTTCAGTTCAAATCCAATAATGGTGGATTTATTAGAAATATTAGCAGTAACAGGAATAGTTTGGGGTTCGAAGATATTATTTCAGAAGTATGACCCAGTGAAATAAAGTTAAAAATAGAAATATAGAGATGAGGAATTGAGAGGATTAATATTTGAGAGAGAAATAAAATTGATGCACTTGCGCTATTGCAACCGATTTCGAGCCATGACAATCAAAGTCTCTAACCACCGGTTACTATTGTCTAGCAGACTCCAGTCGGTTAGTCTACATCTATCAACATGGCTCAGTCGTGTTGTCAGTGACTTCATGGATTTGTGCTGAGTTTTGATCTTGTCGCTCCTAGTTTTCTTCCAGCCTACCCCTGCATCACAAAATGTCGCTCGTCAGGGCAGTCGGTGATTAAGCGTACGTAACACACGTCTCAGTCACCTCAACTGATGAAGATTCACTACTTCAATTGATTTGCCATCATTATTTTTGTTTAGCCGACCAATACGTTCTATTCGTTGTTCACTTGACAGGCCTCTTTATATTCTATTGAAGTAGTTGTATTCATATTATTCGTTTATGTTAATTTTAAAGTCTAACTTAGCGTTTTAGAGCAGTTATTTTTTAAGGATATGAAATAGTTAAACAATTGTTTAGTATAAAATATAATTTGTTCACTTGTAAAAAATTAGTGAGATGTGCATAGATTTTGAGAAATGTCTGGCTATTTACTTGTATGATTGAAATCTATTTGTTGTAACATTAAAAAAAATTTTTCTCTATAAACTATTAACAAGACTAACAATTTTACAGGTAACATCGTATCAGTTTTCTTGTTACTCAACCATATTGAAAGTTGTATATATTACTTTGCAAGTTTTTTCTCCTCTATATTCTGTTTTGCATCAATTTCTCACAATGACTAATTCATCATATGCAAGTGCAATTGTAACTGATTATTTTGTCAGTTAGTTTGTTAATCTGTAGGTGGTTTTGATTACAATATCATGTTAGATCATTTTTCGGAATTTAGTGATCATTCAACATCGAGTTACATGTTAATGATTGATATTGTTGGTATTGATCAACATTATATTGTTACATTAAGGACATTGAATGATAAATTGTTTCATTGGTAAGAAGTACTTAGAATATTCTATTTTATAGAACTAGTAGTTACATTTCAATTAAGGTTTGTTGAAGTGGAAACTCAATTTAATTAGATTCCATTTAAAAGATTAGGTTTAATGATAATATGAGATTAAGCTAACTGGATCAATCAGCTTTTAAAGGGATAGGAGATGAAAATGTTAAAATAGATACAACTGTCTACATTAACATGTTTTCCGTGCTAAGCTAGTACGAATTTATACTTATTGCAATAAGGATAGCTTTTATGTATGATATATCTCAGTTAGATAGTTGATTTAACATCAAGGTACAGGTTACTAAATTATACTTCTTTAATGCAACTAACGAACAAGTCTAGGTTAGATGGAGATAATAACTTTATTCGTTATACCGTTCAACTAAAGCCAGTTAGAAATAGGAAATTTTTGATTCTAGACTTATTTTATGGACTGAATAACCGGCTTAACAACTCATGACTCGAGTTCAAACTCTACCAAATTAATCCATTAACTGCACATCCACAACTAACAAGGTTGTTAAGCATTGATTCCTGACTAAGCGGGTAATTGTTGATCTTTGGGTCAGGTGGGTACAATTTTAAGCTTCATTAATTTATAATACTTGAATAAGCGAGTGGTAAAAAATCATTAACATCAGTTTATATTGGTCAGATCAGAGTGATCGTAATACAGTTTGGCTAATTTCTGACTAATTTCCAACCATTTTAACATATGGTATTAGAAATGTCTAATTGTTCAGATCATCAAGTTGGTTTTTATTAGACTGACAAGCTTATAAGTTGATTTATAGAATCGCAGATTCTTATAAAAACTTTGTATTGAAGCATTAATGAATTGCAATTAACATTTGCAAAAAAATCAAATAATTGCTTTCCATCAGTGTTTCCAAGTAATTTATAAAATTAAGACTTAAAATGGTTGCAGCTATGATTACATTAGAACCAGCAAAACTATCGTCATAAATACTGTGGGGTTTTACAAATCTAGTCTCCTGCGAAAAAAAATATACATAAAATAATCCAATTTACCACCATAAATCATTATAAGTACAAGTCGAATAAAACGTAAGAAGAAAATAAACATAAGAGTTTAAGTACGATGAATATGTGTAAGTTGTTGTTAATAGTCTAGACAAATTGCTGAATTTGTTAATAACTAATGAAAGAAACAATAATAAATTAATCCTATAAGTAATAATAATAATAATAATAATAATAATAATAATAATAGAGACAATAATGGTTCTAGGCAATGTCAAGCAATAAGAACAACTAATGGAGACTAAGATGCTGCGTGTACCACTATCTGTACCTGTAGTTAACTTTGATTAGGGATTGATGTCACAATCAAAGAGCTATCGAAAACTTGGACATTATCATTGTCGTTTTTATATATTTGGTTATAATACTTCATAATACAGACATGATCGCTTATACTTTATAACACCAACTACTAAACTGCCTCCCAGTGCAGTTTAATTAATTAGAGGAATCAACTTATGGCTTATTGGTTTAAACTGTGAAGAATATCTTTGGCTCTCAGTTTATTGGTATGACATAATGACTTGATGCTAAATCTCTTATTAGACACCTTTAGCCTTATTCCAATGAATAGTTGTTGACTTGGATAATTCTCAAGTTGCAATTTCGTCATTAACAGCCCTTGCATTAATCATCTTTCTATGTGTAGATCAACTGATCAAGGAATCCTAAAACAATAGAGGAAATCATATATTTATAGCTTCTATTATACTAAGATAAAATAGTATTTACCTGTTTATAAAACTAGTGAATACTTTTTAATGCTAAATTTCACTCTTTTTCTGTTTTACTGTTTCTATAAAATGTATTACTACCGTCAGGTTCATTGGAATCACTCAAAGAAATTGGAGATCATCTTTTGAAATTTTTACAATATACCATCACTTCACATGCGCAAAATGGTGATGTTTTTATTCGTTTGGGTGCCGCCAATTGCCTATTGAATCGTATACTTCATACAAATGCAAAAAAACATATTACTTCTTTACGCTCATCTGCATTGATGATTTATGAAGAATTAATGCTCAGCAATGGTGGAGAAGAGTTAATGCCAAATTTATTAGAAAATATGCATCATGCTTATGGTGATTTAAAGATTAATGTAAGTAATATGTATATACGTTAATATTATAAGTTTCAAACTATTATAGAATACAAAGCACCATTTCTGTTAATATGTGTAGTAGCAACTGCTCGTATCTTGCTTGGCACTGATACTTTCATCGCGGTCCAAAAGTTTTGTTTGTTCCAGAATCTGTTTTTTAAAAATATCTTTGTTGAGATGGGTTCGTTTAACGGACTGAACTTTCCAGACTAAAGCACATGCTTTATTTAACAGGTTTCGGAGTTACTATCTGACTGTTAGAAGTTGGTTATTTCAATCAGTAGTATCTATAACAGCCTACTGTAATGCAATAAAATTAGTTTTTTTTGATTGAAATTAATCTGCTATAAAAATTCGTACCTCTAGCGACCTTTTTGATGTGTTTAGAACGAACAATTTGTTTGTCAGTTTTTACATATTTTCAGTAACATTTGACACTGTAGATGTAAAAATAGTTTTATTACTATTTGACATCATTTGAAAATCTGTTTAAAACTAAACAGTGATTATTACTTGTTTGATGACTTCGGCAATAGATACTCACTATAGCGCAATAGTGATTGAGTTCCACAAATTTAGATCTTTGTTATTCTTTATCATTTCAACACTATTTTATACACTATATTATCTAAAACATATCGTTTTACACTGGAAATTATCTTTCTTTATGTTAAGATATATTGGCTTTAGAATTATATATGTGTGTTCAAAAAACAGTATTTTATCTTACAAACCATGTAAGTTTTTAAATACACAGTAAAAGAAAAAGGGTAGACATACTCTTATTTGCGTTAAGAAAGTCAGTTGAGGAGTTATTTTGTTGTTTTGGTATGTGAGATGCGTCTCCTGATTATTGTGTAGCAACTTATTTACTTACTTACTTACGCCTGTTACCCGTAATGGAGCATAGGGCGCCGACCAGCGAATTATTTTTTTGGTTAGCGTTTTTTTAGAGAGTTGGATTTCTACGGGATATGGTCGCTAACCCTATGCCCAACCCTTCTCCTTTATCCGGGCTTGTGACCAGCAGTAACCCTAGAAGGGTCCCAGGCGGAGTTATTGTATAGCAACTACTTTTTACTAAGTAGAGAATTTGGTACTCTATAGGTATCGGATCAGAATCGATTAATAGGGACTTATATTAAGTTTGTTATCCGCGGAAATTTGATTTATTAAAATGAAATAAAATAAACTATTTCATAATTTTCAATTCTCATTTATTTCATTCACCATTCTTCTATGTCATAAAATATTTCAAGATACATTTTAGAGAGGATTCAGTTCTTTCTAAGATTATCAACAATATGTAGAGTAAAATGTACCAATTGTACAACTGGTTAACAATCCAATTAAGTTTATATTTGATGTTAAATAAATAAGAAAATTTCTGTTATTTTTAATTGTATGAACAGTTATAATAGATAGATTTTTTTGATAGTAATGTTATCAAATATATTTCACCATAAATGTTTCAGATTTTATGTTCATTTTGTCGTGTTCTACGTGAATCGCATCGATGTAGAACTGTTTTTCGAAAACTTAACGGATTTGTCTATGTGATGCAAGAATTAATTTATTTAGAAGGTTGTTTAGATTTATTTACATCAACTGTCAATTCATTTCAATTATCCAAAGAAGATTCATCATCATCATTGTCATCCTCACCGAAATACACAATTTCATCTTCAGAATCTGGTACACCACAGGAACATCACTCTCATTTATCGCGTAAAACATTTTTGTCAAGTTTGACATATCCTCAATTATTTATTTTGATCAAATCTATCTTTTCCACTTTGGGAATTGCCATGAAATTTGAACCGGCCAATGCGCATTATTTTGTGACTGAGGTAAGGTACACTCGAATAAATCATTCATGAAAATGTTGGCATACCATATTTTTTAATGTTTATATTCAAAATTGGTCAAACTAATATGATCATAATTAAGAATATAGTATACACTGTTCTTTCACAACCACCACTTTACTGCATATTTTCAATGGATGAAATACAGTTTCGTAGGCGGTTGGTGACATTTCATAATAACTAGTTTATTTTTATCATGGAAATAAAAGTGGTACACAGAGTAGTAGTAGAGTCTCGTCTGGATAAGAGTGGGTCGGAATAATGAGGAATCTTATTATTATTATCGATTCTTACTGTTATCTCATATTTTCTTCTTGTCTATCACTTTTTACTTAGTGATTAAACCGAAATTCAATTATTCATATTAGGATTGTTTATCTTACAATTTATAACAATAGTAGAACCACACTAAAAAGAAACTTTAAAAGATGGGAGAATAAATAATTTGATAAAACAAAAGAACATTCAGCATTTAGATTAAGACAAAAACTAAATATAGCTGTAATATTTAATCACTTTTTTTGTGTTATCTTAAATGTTGTAAGTCATCAACTTTGATATGGTTCACACAAAGTTTTCATCTGGCTTTGTAAACCTTTCTGCTACAATCAACGTTATCAATCTATGAATAACTTGTAATAGATGAATTATTATCCAAAATAAAAGTTTCGGCATTTTCACTGTTTATAGTTCTCTACTAAAAAAAGTCAGCTTATCAGTCAGTCGTCATACAGTAACTAATTATGCATCTTCTAAAAACCTGACGATACTTGTTCTCTGTCAAAAACAAAATATTTGTCAAATTCACTTTTAATACTTTAAACAATTTTATCATAAATTATATTGTATTATTGTGAATATATTTAGATTCAATATAACACTTTAATGGATGCAGTTCTATCTCTTGGTTCAAATAAACAAGAAATTGATAATTTCACTACTAATTCTTCTGATCAATTCATATCTATAAATGTCAATGAGTTGATGAATGGATTCAGTGATTCACCATGTCATCATGCAAGAAGTATGAGATCTAAATATTTATATGCATTATTTATGAATATAAAATTAATGGAATCAGTGTTACTATCACCTTCATTAGTAATGACATCTAATTTGGATAAGATAAAAATGGATAGTTATTCTGTGATGAATCAATCTTCCTTTGATATGGTTGTTAATCTACCTAGACGAATTGTAGAATGGTGTCTTATTTTTAGGTATTTTTATAATTTAGCAATTGACGCTTACGATCGGTAAGTTTGCACATGATCATTATCTATCCATTATAAGATTGAATTGATATAGTTCATTGTTTTATTCTGATTTTTAATATTGGAATGGTCCCTTCGAAAAAAATATGCAGATTCTGAGCTTCGTGTAGATATTTTTCAAGCATTAGACAGTAGATGCTTTATTGCTTATTTTTCTCAAATAGGTAATTGTAGTCACCGTTGATAGTCTTATGTGTTCAATAGTCCAAGTGATCATTTAAGTGGATCAAAGAGGAAAATTAAAAAAACTTGTTGTGTCCATATATATATATATATATATATATATATATATATATATATATATATATATGATTGGACGCTAGCATTTTCTCTGGCTTTTTCAGTTGTCATGCACTTTTCTACATCGTTTAGCTTGATAGTTGATGGCGTCATAATCTAGTATAATTTGATTATTTGTTCTTCCTTAGCTTTTATTCCGTCTAAATCCTACCAACTTTACCCAGTAACTTTTACTTAGCATCAACTTTGTTCAATTATCAATGGACAGTCACCAACACTTTAAGGTAATTGTGCGTTTAAGATGTAGGAGATTAACTCAAAACTCTTCAAATTGTCACTTAGCTTTTTTAGAATACTTTGGATTGTTGCATCTATTTAATATCAGCATGAAGCTACTACTCTACTTGTATTTTGTCTTTTTTTTGTTGTCATTATTTTCCACAAAAACACTGTTCTAGAGATTCTATTCGTTCAATTTTATTGGATACAAATGTGAATTATTCAAATCTTCAACCTAATAATCATAGTGATGCAACTCTTACTACAACTGTTGAGAATACTGATAGTACTGTTGGATATACTGCATTATCTATTATCAATAGTAATAATAATGATTCCGATAATAATAATAATAATAATAATAATAATAATACACTGTTAAATATAGCAGACATTCTCATTATTCATCCAGATGCAGTTATTGGTCTGTTAAAAATTATTGCTAATTTAAGTGAATGTTTAAATAACGAATCTCATCACCCATCGTCGGATGATGATGATGATGAAGATCTGTGTATTGATTTTCAAGTAGGTTTATTTCGCCTGTCTAGGTTTTTCTATTATTTCATTTTGATTTATAAATGTTTGATAGCTCAACATATTTTCACTGTTATGCCGTTATTGATTTGGAAGACGATTAGTTTTCTGAATCGATATTGCTTATCTTTTGATCAATAAAAACTAAAACGTATTGGATATTTCATCTGTTTTATCTATGTTATTGTTTACCCTTAAACTGTATGAATACAAAATTCGAGACTGAATTTGTTTAGTTGTTGGGAATTTGTAATTATTATAAACCTGGTAGGGTTAAAATAATCTCTGTTTAGCATTGTTCGTGATTGGATTTTTCATTTACAAATTAGTCAGGCTCACTAGATACTGTCATTTCTATATAAAAATTCAGAAAATTATGTAAATGAATTTAAGAGTAGCAAATTATGTAGTATATGAATTCAGTATGGGAAATGATGATTCATGACATTAATTTACTTGAGTTAAATTGCTCTAAAATCTCTTGTATACCATAGAGTCTATTGAATAATTGTTAATACCGAAAGCTGATATCAGTCAGTCAGCTACAACATAGAATTTCGTACGTACGTACATCAGTTCAAGTTGCCACACCACACTAGCACACAGAGATGCAACTGTCAGTTCGAATCCCATAGTATTATACGTAGTAGAAATATTAGCAGTAATCAGAAAGATTAGGATTCGAAGCTATTATTCAAGAAGTATAATCCAGTGAAATAAATTTAAAAAGCTAAAAATGGTCCTGAGGAATTCAGAGAAGAAAATGAATGCATGCATCTGCACCATTACAAGCGGTTTTGAACCGTCTTTCAGAGGCTCTAACTATCGGTTAATATTGTCTCACGGACCCAAACCAGGTAGGTAGTCTACATGTCCCAACATGGCTCAGTCCAATTGTCAATGACTTCATCGATTTGTGCCTAGTTTTGATTTGGCCGCCCCTAACATTCTTTCAGCCTACTCCCCTACATCACAAGGCAGTCAGTGGTTAAGCATACGTAACACATGTCTCAACCTACTCAACTGATGAAGATTCATTACCTCGTCAATTAATCGGTCATCCTTATTTGGTACCCTTTTCCTAACACCAGTATTGCTTACTCTGTGGTTTCAGAATATTCGACCAATGATTCAAACATACCTATGATCAATATCAGTAATCTACAAATATCCTCTACTCTTACTGGCGATGTCTGAATGTGTGTCTGTGTTTCAGGACTTGTCGTAGTGTGGATATTTGGTCTATGCAGCCACGTCCAGGTCTAGAACCACACTGGGTTCCTTTAGTATGCTCTTCACGAGTCCTAGTTAGGCGTCGAAGTATTACTAAAGCTAATATTTTAGACACTACATTAGTTAAACTGATTGCTCTAGTGCAAGTATCTTTGGGCGTTTGTGTAACGACATTAATTCACTATTATTACAAAATCACTCTATTCAAATTAGCGAAGACAGTGTCGATTGTCTCTTAACTGCGTTTGTTCCGATTTCGAGCTTATCCAAAGGGATTAATTTCTCCTGACTTGAGTATTATGTATTACCTTTTCTACTTCAATTCTCACAAATATTTCTTAGCTTCAGTCTCAATTTAGTGGTCCATTTATGTGTATTGCTTACATTTCTTCTCGTTTTAGATGTAATTGCTTATCACTTTTAACTTTATCGTATCTTTTGCACTAATCGTAGGCATCTACTATTACTTTCTACATAACTGTATTCTGATCATGTTGACTCAGGTGACTGGTAATAATAATGGGAAGTGTTGCATCTATCAATCCTTATCGTTCCTAGTACATCTACACTAAAAATTTTGTAGTCCACTTTCATTTTTTTACCTTCTTTAATTCACTCCGCCTTTTGGCACTACTCTTGAACGGATTATGCTTAATAAAAGTTACTGCTTGACTAGATTTCACTTGACGGTTGCGTGCCGTTTAGCTTAACAGTTTGATAAGAGTGCTACCAAATATAAAGTGTCAGGGATTAATATTTGTATATCCACAAATAAACACCATAAACCAACAACATTTGTTCCATTTAGAGTTCTTGTAAGGCTGTTAAGTTTATTACAGATAACAGAAAAGAGTAATAATTCATACGTGGAAATAAGTTTAATTCTTTACTGAGCAATTCGAGACGTGTAACACGGTGTATATTTGATGCTTTGGAAACACCCACTTCTAGTATCATTTGTGGCCACAATCTTGTTAAATTGTTTGCTGATAACTTTTCTCAGTTATCATGAAAATAATTTGTAATTTCCTGTTTTCTTATGTATAATATCAGTTTGTTGAAAGCACAAAATTGATCCATACTGACTACTCTATCACCAGTAGTTTGGGAACATGGGCTTTCAACTGAAACCGATTATTTTCATGTTAAATTTTGTGTCTTTGTATCCCATGAATCATTATAGACATAAAACTGTCGAGCTAACTGGTTATTTCATTTGATAAATATAGCTCTCAGTCAGTTACAACGTAGAACTTCGTACGTATGTACATAAGTTCATGTTGCCATACCACATTAGCACAGAGATGCAAATTTCAAATCAAATCCCATAGTGATAAAGATAGTAGAGGTATTAATGCTAATGAAGAAGACTAGGGTTTGAAGATATTATTCAAGAAGTATAATTCAGTGAGATAAGGTTAGAAATACAAAGGTAGAGGTGCTGACGAATCCAGAAGATTAGGATTTGAGAGAGCTCAAAGAATGGATGCACTTGCGCCATTGCAAACGATTCTGAGCCATGTCGTTCAAGGTCTCTAACCATTGGTGACTTACTTCTCGCGGACCCCAACCAGCTATTCTACATCCACCAACATGACTCAGTCCACTAGTCAGTGACTTCATGGATTTCTGCCATGTTTTGGTCTGGCCACCCCTAGCCTTCTTCCAACCTACTCCTACACCACAAAACATAGCTCGTCGAGGCAGTTGGTGGTTAGGCATACTTAACACATGTCCCAACCACCTCAACTGATGAAGTTTCACTACTTCATCTATTGATCTGCCATCCTTACCTAGCACCCGTTTCCTAACGACAGCATTGTTTACTCGGTTGTCCCACGATATACGAGCGATGCTTCGAAGACACCTATGATCGAAAACCAGCAATCTATGAATATCTTCTACTCTGACTGGCCATGTTTCGCATCCATATAGGAGAACGGAGCGAAGTGTTGCACAGTACACCCGTCCTTTGGTTAGCTAACGGATATCACGCCTGCGCCATAAGTGACGCAGGTTGGCAAAAGCCAATCGAGCTTTCTGTATCCGAGCTGAGATTTCGTCAGTCACCAGGCCATCGGCACTGATGAGACTCCCAAGATAAGTGAAGCGATCAACATGCTCGACTACTTCACTCCCTGTCACTAGTTCAGGTGCCGATGCAACCCAATCTTGAAGCAACATTTTGCATTTCGAGGGTGAGAACCGCATCCCGAACATGCTCGCATTGTTGCTTATGGTAGTCAGAAGACTCTGCATTTTGTCAGCGTCTTCACCGAATAGAACTATGTCATCGGCATATTCTAGATCAGTTAGCGATTTTCCTGGTAGAAGGTCAGCCCCTGAAAAATCTGACGAGCTTAATGTCAACTCTAAGAGAATGTCCACGACAAAGTTAAACAAGAAAGGAGAGAGTGGGGAGCCCTGACGGACACCGCTTGACGTAGAGGATTCCGATGACAGTTCGCCATAAGCTCTCACTCGACCAGTAGTGTTCGAGGAGAGAGCTTTTATAAGGTTAATGTACTTCTTTGGTACACCTTTCAATGACAGACGTTGCCACAGAACCTCACGATCCACTGAGTCGAATGCCGCTTTTAGGTCCAGGAACACAACTAATGTCGGACGTCTAAATGTGTGTCTGTGTTCCAGGACCTGTCGTAGTGTGAAGATGTGGTCTATACAACCACGTCCAGGTCGAAAACCAGACTGGTTTTCTCTAGTCTGCTCTTCACGAGCTCTAGTTAGACGTCTAAGTATAATGGAGGCTAACAATTCAGAAATTATATTAATTAGACTTATTCCCCTGTGATTGTCACAAGAGGAATTTTGTCCTTTCTTGTAGATTGGGACAATTAGCGACTGAGACCAGTCAGATGGAATTACATCCATTTCCCAGATTCTACCTAGGATCTCGGTCAGTCTAACTGTTGAAACTGGACCACCATCCTTAAACATCTCATAGGTAAGCCTATCAGGAACTGCTGCTCTACCCCGCTTTAGATTTCCTTTAGCTTTCTCAACTTCATGTAGACTAGGAGGACTTCGATCGATTTGTCATTTAGGATGACTGGGGATCGTGGGCAACCGAAGTGTAGCTCGAGGCCAGTTGAACTGATCCCTAAAGTGTTCTGCTCATCGATCCAGTCTCCTGGAAATGAGAATGGATAATAAGACCATCCTTTTCCGAGATAGTCTCACTCACATTCGGGTTCCTAATCTGACTACGCTCTTCGTCATGTTCAGAGTCAGGTGGGATGCTTTTTCGAGCATCCATCAGTTCCGCTTCATCCTAGCCTTATGGTTTACCTTGCTAGCAGATATCACTGCTGTTTCCACAGCCTTCTTGATATCATTCCAATTTGCCACCGGATGGAAATCACTTCCTCCTGAAATATTTTCTTAGCTTGATTATCACTAAGTAAAACTCTAAGATGCTTCCTTACGGTGTCTTTCCTACGTCCAGTAAGCCTCAAACAAATACGAGCTCGCACTAGGGCATGATCTGAATTGAAACATGTGCCCCAGAACGAGCGGCAGTCCTCTATCGGACATCTCCATCGGTGGCTGAAATAAAGTTAAAGCTTATAAATTTTTTGGATATCAGTTGGATAACTTGTTTAGAAATTTTACTTCAATTTAAAATAATTATTTATGTGGAATATAAACCGAAACATCAAACAATCAGTGTCATATAACATAGACTTATTATGAGTCATTTCATATTTCGAAAAATGTATCTTTTTTCTGTGGTATAGATTTCTAACTAAGTTGGAGAAGACCTTCTGGGTCTACTGCCGGTCCCAAGCCCGGATATAAGGGGAGGGTTAAGGTTGGGTTTGGGGTAGGCGACCCCATCCCCCAAAAAACTAACTCTCTAAAAAACGCTAACAAGAAAAAATAATTCAAACCATTTAAACTCTGCTCTGGGAGTTAGGTCTTCATTCAGAAGAGTCATGACGTCTCATGATAAAAGCCGAGTTCCTTCGGAAGTCACGATACCGATGCCCCTTCTGACAACGAGAGCCGTTCCATGGTGTGTGCACCCGGGAAGTAACATCCGCCGTCATACCCATAAAAGCACACCAGACCAAATCAATCAGAACCAAATCCTTTCTACACCTCCTAATAACTCTTTTATCTCCACGACCAACGCTTCTGTTGATCGTTTGTCACCTCGCGCCGCTAAAGCAAACGGTTCAAACTCACAAAACGTTATTCCTGGTCTCATGAAACCCTGCTTCAAACGACATATTGGGGCTTTGAAAATTCCAATAGGGCAACAGGCTTCCTTAGCTAGGACTCTGGAATCCTTTGCCGTGGATGTATGCTGCGTCTCCAAAACGCGCATACAAGATCCGATTAAAATCATCAATTTGATTTCACCTTGAGCAGATAGAAGAGAATCAACACGGTTTGTCCTTCGTGTTTCTGGAAGCCCGGATGCTGCTTTTCGTGACCTCGCTTGTGTAGGTATAGTATTAAGTCCTAGTGCAGAACTAGCTCTCTTAGACTGGATTCCGGCAGACAGTCGCTAATGCGCTGTCCGACTAGACAGGACAGTATGGACTCGGAAGGATAGGGGCACTCGCCGTTTCTTCTTTGTTTTCTCTACCTACGCTCCTACTGACTGCAGTTGTTTTACAGAAACCTTCAAATAATTAGGCGCTCTGATAGAATAATGATGGCTGGTGACTTTAATGCTCAAGTAGGGGAATTAAGTGAAAAGGAAAGACACGTGGGTGGATTTTATGGTGTCGCGGCTAATAGGACAGATAATGGCGACCTTCTACTGCAGCCGTGCTCAGATAACTGCCTATTTCTAGCAAGCACTAACTTCAAACATAAGGAAAAACATCTTTTGACCGGGCGACCCCCAGGTCCGACCCAACGCTGAACCCAACTAGATTACTTCGCTATCAGCCATCGATGGAGATGCTTTGTTGAGGACTGCCGCTAATTCTTCAGACCATGCTCTAGTGCGAGCGCGTATTTGTCTGCGGCTTACTATACGTAGGAAAAACACCGCAAGAAAACTTCATAGGGTTCTACCTAGTGATAAAAAAGCTCAGAATATATTTCAAGAACAACTAGAAAAACGGACAGCCTTGTGATAAGTGATGTCCTTCCCGAGACAGCTTGGAATTATAGCGAAAAATCTGTGAAAACATCATTATTATCTGTTAGTAAGGTAAACCACAAGGTTGGGAAGAAGATCTGGATTTCAGTAGCATCTACGGAACTGATGGATGCTCGAAAGCTCATCCCGTCTGGCTCTGAGTGCGATGAGTGGAAGCAGCTTAGGCTCAGGCTGATAAAAAGCCTACGCAAGGATCGCGAACAGTGGTGGGTGGCGAAAGGAAAAGCGATGGAAAAGCCAGAGGACTGTTAGAAAAGCAATGGTCTTGAGCGGTTTTGGTCTTACTCCATGCAATATAAATCACTAAAAACCGACTTGCAAGATCGGTTAAATTTCGTCATTTTTTATTCTTATTCAGCTCAAATACTTTTCTACTCTTTAATCTTTCTAATACTTGATTTCTATTTAGAGATGCAGGCACTTCTAAACTCCATATTCATAAACAGTTGTAACGGATGCGTTTTTATTTGATTCTATGTTAATGTATGTTCATTAATAGTTTATGATTACTTTTTGATAAACTACAGATCCATTTTTATTCGTTCTATGTTTATTATTTATAAACTTGTGATTAGAATTTATTGATCTCATGTTGATGTTTACAACAAAATGCACGCAAATGGGTGTTCGTTTCATAAACATCTTAAAAATCATTATCGTACGTACGAGTTTGACAACTGTTTGGTTGGCTTATGTAAGGTTTATTATCAAGTTTGTTGTCGTAAGCTGGATATATATATATATATATATATATATATATAGACAACTAGAACTGCTGATCCTTTTGTTATCTTACAAGACTACGTTTTCACTTATCACTGTAAGAATCATTGTAACGTAATAGTCTTATGTGATTTTACTGAAAATGATTTCTGGAATAATTTGGAAAGCTTTGGAGATGAAAATCAACTTGTTGAGCAGTATATTAAATACAACATTCTGTAAAGCATTTTCAGTGTATGCTTGGGGTCAAATTCACGTATAATTGGTGATAAATTCCATTTTAAACTAAATTTAGCAATTTGTTTTAATAGATTAATGGATAACATGCTTTGTATAGGTTATTTAGATTAGTAATATGTATTGTTGTGTATAAGAGTTACAAACCGATTTTCCGTATCGTGTAAAGTTTACGAATGTGTCCACTTAATTCATGGAAATGATGGAGAGCATTCTTCAGTATCCTAGTTTCACCGACTCTCATAGGTTGCGTTAGTATTTTTCATGATTGTAATGAATGCGACTTTAAATGACATCACCAACAAGAATCGTGTAATATTCCTCTACCATGTATATCCTATTCTGTCAGTAAACTGGCGTTCTAGACTTTGACCGATTATACGAATTGACTTGACCAACGCTAATCTACCTTCCTTTTCAAGTTCCTCAAGAAACACCCGCGGTGTGTGCGGCCGGGAAGTGACAGCCGCCCTCATACCCGTAACAGCATGCAAGACCAAAGCGGTCACAATCAAATCACAAACCCTACCCTCTCTAACATCTCTTTTATCTCCACGACTAACCCTTCTAACATTCCTTTATCAGCCCGCACCGCTAATGCAAACGATTCGAGTACACGAAATGTTATTCCTCGTCCCCTTTAACTCCGTTCTGAAGTACATGTTGGAGCATTTATTGTTTGGATATTTTTTCGAATAGGAAAACAAGCTTCCTTAGCTAAGACTTGAGAATTTCGCGCTCCCGATGTATGCTGCGTTTTCGAAACGCGCATAAAACTTCGACGTATGTACGAAATTTCAAGTTGTAGCTGACTAACTCATCTAACTGGAAGAGGATGAAACAAACACTACTTAAATAATTTGTTATCATTATGAAATAAAAAAACGTATTATAATAGTTAGGAGGTCCAATGGAAGCTCACGATATGAGGAAGACCGAAATACAATAATCTAGTTATCCTAATGATTGTACATTTATATTTCATATGCCGTAAAACTATTTCTACAGTTTCGGTTCTGCCAGTGTCCATCTACTCATAACAACTATCGAAAAATATACTCCTTTTCCTTCGTCTTATTTAAAGCAATAATATCCTTGTCCTCTGTTTGTTTACAGGTACCACCCCTAATGTCTGGATTAGGTATAAGTCTTTCCGGATTTCCATGAATGTCTTTCATTTATGGAATTAACCAAGTCAGTTCTACTCAGTTGGTATCTAAGTTGACAAGTTAATCTCACTCACTTATCACTATTTGACTAAATTTGTAATTTCTAAAGCATAAAATCCAAGAAGTTGTTTTAAATCAAAACGGAATATCAGTTCATTACTTTTGGCTTTCAATCGTTGATCGATTGATTTCATTTTTAAAAAAAGTTGACTTATGTGTGCACTTTTTGTTTTGCAATTAATTTTATTTGGTTTAAGGCATCGATTCCCCTTTTTGTATTGTTCATTGTCTTGTATCTTCCTTTTTTTTCATTTCATGTAGAATTGTTTGTTAACTGTAATCGCTGATCTATTACACAGTGAACGTAATCAACAGTTGATGTGTAATGTGTATATGCCTCGTGAACTGCTTAATTTATTTCATAAACCATTAGCCAATGATAACCATCCCTTACATGAACAAATTCGCAGTCTTTTTGAATGCTTGGCCATTCAAGCCTTAACTCCTAATGATCTTCGGTATGTTCACTGCTATTTTAGTCGTTTTTTGAGCCAGGATTTTCATATTGAACTAATCTACACATGTTCATTCATAAGTACTAACGTATATAACATTAAATACATAGTTTTGTATTTTCTGTGAATATAATAATTTTATTCCGCAGTTGATCATTTACTTAAATGGTCATTTAATCGTTATTATTTAGTCTATTGTTGACAAACTATACATTTAAAATCGATTTCTAAATGATTAGGATTTATTAAGTATTAAGTTATTCCACAGCTTCAGTATCGATTAAGAGTTGCTTCACTTGATCTTATGAGGAGTGGGGTGACGGTAAGAAATGCGTACTATGCAGGATTTGTAAATCAACAAACAAAATAGTTCCCTTCATAATACTTTTAATTTCAATGGTTTTCGACTAGTATTTCCTTAAGGGAGAGAATATGTGTTGAAACGTGTTTCTGCTTATATATTTCCTAGAGTTCGTGGTAAGAATTATTATTGTTTGACATTCCGTACGTGTCTTCGGGCTTAACTACATTGTTGTGCATTTCTTATGGATACTTTGTTTTTTTATTGTTTTATTTGAATTGTAATAAATTTCTACCTCTGAGTATTATTTTTTTTCTTTTTCAATTTCATAGTGAATTTCTTCGACTTTCTGATACATTGTCAAAATTAGATGCCAGTTTAGTATATCCTACTGAAAGTAATAGTTTATTGAATTCATCATTTAGTTTATCAGATGAAGCAAAAATTTTATTATCTAAATCTTTATCGTTTCGTTTAAATCCATTAACATTAAGTCAGATTAAATGTCTAATAACTATGTCAACTCCATCTCATGTAGAATTTAATAAACAAATTATTCGACGTGATTCACGTATTAATTATTCTCAGATCCGATCGAATTCAACGATGAATTCTGAATTTGGCCTGTCTGTTTCACCTCCATTTGTTGAATTCAATATGTCCACTGAAGGATTCGGTTGTTTATTTCTGCCATCGATTGCACCACAAGGATCATCTTCAGTTGCACATTTATGCGGGGCTGTTGCTGCTAATTCTCCAGGGAATACAGCTAATAGTTCAATGAATGATGTAAATGCAGGTGGCGGTGTTGGATCAGGTGAGTTCTATAAGTAGTTTGGTTTGGCCAACTACCTGACACTGAGGAGCATTTGTCCCTCTTAAATTTGTTATGATATTTTTCTAGAGTTGTTCTACTCACCGATTTTGTGTGGTATCAGAGATCCAAAAACAGTGAGAGAGTGAGAAACAGACCTCTTGCACTAATGCCGTGGTAACATACGACAAGTTCACGTATAGCAGTTGAGGAATCTTGATTACCCACGTTTTCCCTTCTTCTAGCCTATTCCTTCATTAGCGAGCACTATGCATCGAGGTAACTATTGGTCAAGCATACTAATAAAACTACGTCTTCTGAATTCTTAAAGCAAATCAGTAAAAAACATTTTGAGCAATTTTCTTATTCCAGAAAATAAATTAGAGTAGTAAAGCTGAATGAAAATAAGTGAAACTCAAGAAGCACTGTACGATGGGGCGGACAACATCAAAATAGTTTTATACGGCCTTTCTTCGGGATAGTGGGAAGCTTAACGAATTCAAGATAGCCCTCAGCATTAGGTTCCAGGAAGGAAGCATGGGACACAATGGACAACTAGGACGCGGCTGGACGATCTGGAATTCGCAGATAATCTGGCTCTTCTGTCTTACAAGAAACAACAAATGACAAAGAATACGACCAGTGTAGCAGCAGGTCTCAACATACATAAAGGAAAAAGCAAAATTCTCCGATCCTACACAACATGCACCAACAAAATCACTCTTGATGGAGATGCCTTGGAGGACGTTAACACCTTTACATATCTGGGCAGCATCATCGACAACCAAGGTGGATCCGATGCAGATGTGAGGGCGCGGATCGACAAACCAAGGGCTGTATTTCTACAATTGAACAACATCTGGAAATCAAAACTACTGTCTACCAGCCAACACCAAATTTACAGTATTCAATACAAATGTCAAGACAACTCTGCTGTATGAGGCGGAAACTTGGAAAACTGCCAAACCCATCGTCCAGAAGATACAAGTATTTATTAAAACTTGTTTACGCAAAATACTTTGGATCCATTGGACAGACACCATCAGCAACAACGTAATGTGGGAGAGAACAAACCAGATTCCAGTAGAGGGAGAAACCAGGAAGAAGCGATGAAAGTGGATGGGACATACATTGCTGAGAGCACCTAAGTGCGTCTCAAGAGAAGCCCTCACTTGGAAACCTCAAGCCAAAAGACAAGAAGAAGGCCAAGGAACGCATTACGCTGAGAAATGGAGACAGACATTAGAAGAATGAACTAAAATCGGATGGAACTGGAAAGGGAAGCCGAGGAGAGAGTAGTTTGGAGAATTCTGGTCAATGACCTATGCTCCAATGGGGTAACAGGCGTAAGTTTATAAGGAAGTGAGTGAAAATAACGAATGCTACTCACTTTAGTGAGATCAGATAGTAATTGTCAATAAATTAACCACATTAAATCTCTAACAGAGAGATATCAGTAGTTTGATATCTCTATTTAGAAATTTTACTATTAAGCATTAATTGTAAATAGCAGGTGAGAAACGCAATTTGTACTAAATGTGTAGTATTGAATGAGTACTCTTATTGAATAATATTGTATTGTAACCGAGTATGACTTTAGATTATTATATGCATATGTATTGTTACTCATCAATTTATTTGATACTTATAGGAGAACGCTCATTTCCTCCATCCTGTGGATTTACGTATTCTGCATGGGTTTCTGTATCACAATTTGATAGTGTAACAAATAATTCTTATGATATTGATGCTATGAAACAATCTTTTCAACAACCACAAGCTGTACATTTGTTGACACTTGTACGAGGGGTTCAAAGTGTTAATGATCAATTAGTATTTTTGCGAATTTATATACATCCAGTCAACCATTATTTAGTTGTTTCCACTCAAGAACGTCTTTTACAACCAGGTAACTAAATAAGCGGTATTGTTAATACTTTGTGTTTTAATCCTTAATTTTATATCATAGAAATCTGTTATGATAGATATTTTGTGTAGTTTATTATTGAAAATTATTCACTGTAAATTTCAACTATAAAGTTCCTATTTTAAGCAGAGATGTTTGTTGACTAGCAGTGGAATCCAAGATTCACGTTTTATCCTGTTTACTGGATTTATCTGCATCCAAGACTTGATGTTCACTCCGGCACTGATTGATTGCAGTCCTACACATCAACGGGAAGACGCAAACAACCAATATGAATGCAAATAAAGCTGCTAGTATGAACTTTCTCTTACTTACAATAGTTTGTCTAGCTAAATTTATACATATTTCATTCATTGATTTATGGTTGATTACTTACCGTAAACTGTTTGACAGTAATATCAAGTCTCAAATAAAGTACTGTAGAAAATGTCCAGTCTATTATTATTATTATTATTATTATTATCTACAGGAAAGCATTCTCCGTTAATATGACACTAGCTTATATAAAATAGTGAATTCATGTTATCGTTGTCTAGTTTTATAGAGGTATTTTGATGGCATTATATTCATTGTCAATAAAATGAAACGTTTATCCATCAATTAGAGTGAGATTACATTCTAGTTTTACAAATTAGCTTACATTATATGTTAATTTTGTTTTGTTTTTTTTTTTGATATGTAGGTCAGTCTTGTGATATAGATATAGATTGCTCAACCTTGTTGAATAATAATAATAATACAGATCAATCAACAACTATCGAATCCGATTCAAATATGAAAAATGCTATTGCAACTGGTACATGTGCGGTGTTCCCATGTGGTTTCCCACCAAATAGCTCTAATGAATGGCCTTTAGATGTTTGGCGTCATGTTGTCGTTGTATTTAATCGTGCTGGAATGATTAAAACTAGTTCGTGTAGTTTATATTTAGATGGTCATTTTATTGGAAGCCGTCGAGTAAGTCTAGTATTAATTTTCTTTCTAAAATAAATTTATTTATAATTAAGTAGGTACTTAGCCTTTTGTAGTGTGAACTAATGTTCACTGTTTTTAAATCGATTGGCTATGGTTCCAGAATTTAGACAATTCAAAGAGAATTTTCACCATATACTATGATCAGTTGTTAAGCAAATTTAATTAATTTTAATCTTGTAATCTATCTTTCAAGTCTTTTCAGCACAATTGAATAAGTGATATTTTGAAGTAATATATATATATATATATATATTCATTAATTGAAGGTAGGGCAAGTTGGTGAACATTCAACATGATTTTGAGCTTGAACAAATAAAATTTCATAGAATAGATAAAGATGTTGGACTTATGTTTCATCTTCGTTTCAAAATTCTTAATACTATTCACATATGAATTCAGTGTAGATGAAGAGTATGTAATTTATTTGATTACCTTAATAATTGTTGGAATCAGATCAGTTGGTTGAAAAGTTATCGTGTTTTTTTGGAGCAAAAAAAAACAATCATATGCTCAATCTTCAAAACTGACAATCGATCGACATAACCAGTCAGTTCCATGGTCAGAAGAAACGCATACTTAACAGCCTTTGATCGTTAATGGTTATTCAACTGTTACTCATTTGGGAAAATTTTTTTTCGAATATAATATATTGGTTATCATTGCTACTAACTTATGCTCCTGACTGTTTATCACTTGGATCGGGTAAAGGAAAAATATAAATCGCATGGGGCATGTTCTGTCCACCGAGCAGTAGTCAATACAAATTGTCAGGTATTTAAAGATAGTTAAAACGACCCAAACTAATATCAAACTTTAGTTTAACAACTTGTCTCTTTATCTATCATACCTTATTCCCATACTCATGCATGTTATTGAATCGTCATATACTATGGATGTATGATTTACGGGAGCCTTATCTGATTGATTCAATTTATTTCTTTTCCAATAAACATATTTAAGTGAAGTGTTCTCAATGTTCCTGTTAATTTTACATGTGTGCAATTTTGTTCTCAATTACATTCCTTTCAGGTCACTTACATCGGAGCATCGTCAGCATCAAATGCACTTGGGCGTAATATTATGCCTTCATCATTATGTGGTTTTGTTGGTACACTCGCATCTATGCGTAGATCTAGCAAACTATTGTGGAAGATAGGACCATTTCATTTCATTGAAGAACCATTAACGGCTAATCGTATTGCTATAATGACTAAACTTGGACCAAACTATATGGGTAGTTTTCAGGCCATACCTTCGATGCCGTGTAAGTACCATGTTTGATATCCAATATAAATAAATATATATTTCAATACCTATTATTCAGTGGTGTAATTTTAATTAAAATTTTTGAATATCATTTATATGAAGCGAATTAAACAATACTGATTAAAACTTAATGTTTAGTCAGTATTTCATGTGGAGGTTCCTGGAATATAGCTTCATTAGTTGATGTGTGGTTATCAACATCTATCCATTTTTCATTTTTACAATGATCACTGACTGTTGAGAATATATTCATATATTTATATCAGTTCTCTTGTGTTCTCATATCATCTGAATATCTCGTCAAAGTATTATATCGATTTTCTTTATCAAGTAATGGAGACATATTTTATTTTGTATTTATTTTATATTGATTTATCTTCATCTTCGGGAGAAAATTCCATTTCTTAAAATTCCCTATTAATAAAATTTAACTTAAAATCGGTTACTGTAGTGTAAATAGATCAAACTAATTCAGTCAGTCAGTTACGACGTAGAACTTCGTAAGTATGAACATATCACACCGCAGAGACTCAATTGTCCGTTCATACCCCCTAGTAGTAGAGGTAGTAGAAGTATTAGCAGTAATTAGAAATTTCAGGGTTGGACGATATTATTCAAGAAGTAGAATCTAGTGAAATAGACGTAAAAAGAAAAATATAACGGTGATAAGGAACTCTGAAGGTTAGGGTTTGAGAGAACGCAAAGATTAAATGCACCTGCGCAATTGCAAACGGTTTTGAGCCATGTCATTTCAGGTCTCTAACCATCATCTCCCGGGCCCCAACCAAGTAGTCGACACCTACCAACACCATGCCATCAGCACTGATGAGACTCCCGAGATAAGTGAAGCGGTCAACATGCTCAACTGCTTCACTCCCTATCACTAGTTCAGGTGCCGATACAAGCCATTTATTATGGCTAAACTGATACTTTTGTTACTTTTGGATTGCAGTATCTGAAGCAGACGGATTCTATTATCAACTGTGTAAACTCTTTTTCATGAATCAAGAATAACCTAGGTGTTTGTTTTTGGGAAATATATAATACATGAACGTGTATACTTTAAGATAATTTTGTCACTGATCGGCATGAGTTTATAAACGGTTGAAAGGAAGCAGCTCCAGACAGCTATTCTGTTATAAGATTCATTAAAAGCATGAACGACTTTTTAACTTCAACATGGATTAAATCGAAGTTCTTTATTCAAGTTTCATGATGTTCATAATAACTTTAGACTACAAGGTAAGAAGAATTTTATGATCAATTTTAGTTAGTTTACGCATTAGGATATTGAGTTTGACAATAATATTCACACTATTTAAAATAAAAACTTGTTTGTGATAAATTATTGAACAGATTTATTTTATTATTTGTTTATTCCTGTTAGAAATTTATTTTTATTTTTTCAAAAAATTTCTTTTTCTACAAAAAATAAAGCATTTGTACGACCAGATGTGGATGAGTCGAATTTTCCATTATTTTCAGAAGATAAACTTGTCTTTGGGATCTATGCATGCAATATGTCAACTCTTACATTAAGTAGGATTCGTAAAGTTTATAATCAGTGTGATGCTAAAGCGATAGCACGACAAGTGAGTTCAGATAAAAAAAAGTGAACATATTGTCTATGTTTATCTATGTGCAAGTATTAATATTTCATGTACATTTGTTTCGATGCTAATGAAATGGAGGGTGTTTTTTAGTATTCTTTAAGCGACTTCACATTATGATATTGTCATAAGTTTAGTAGTTATTTTAAGAATTAGAAAATTTCCTATTGAGGTTGTGAATGTCAATATTTATGTACTAACTCAATGGTGTGAATGTTATGCATTTGGGAGAAAGTATGTAGATCTTGAATTCAATTGCTGGTAGTATCGTGGTTGCTCCTTCCTGAATAATCTCATACTAAAATGAAGCATCTGTTCATTGGTCCCTAGTTCTCAATGGTTGTGGCTAAAACCACAGTTAACTGCAGAAATGTTTCATTTTTACTAGTGTCAAACAATTGTGAATATTCGGTATGGAGTTTAGCACTGTATGAAACTGCATACTGTACACAGTTATTATCACGTTCTTACAAAAAGAAGGAACAGCAAGGCGTTGTGATAAATAGTTGAAAGTCATTCACTGCTAAACAATAGATTATATGATAAGTTGGGTGAATACTATTCAACTTAATATTCCGAAATGAATTACAAGTTGGAAATAAATGGAATAGATCCTTTTGACACAATATATCTGTAAAATGTTTGTTATTTTCCTTGACTATTTAATCACTTTGCATAAAATGTCTACGTGAGAAGTTAATAGAAAATAGTAATGCTGTTCATGATATATATATATATAATCTGGAAAGAATTTATTGGTTTGATATATTTATATATTTGTAGGAAAAGCATAAACTTTTGGAATTGATTTTTCAAGACATTTTACAAATACTTTATAAATCCAGTTAGTCAAATCTTGATCTGTGGAATTCAGTTAGCACTAAACGGTTAGACAAGCATGATATCAATCAGTTTTAAATATACCAGTCTTAGAGAGGATCAGCCTCCCTCTGAATACATCAGTGGTAACGTCTCACACCTTTAAGTTCGAATCTTATAAGGGACATCATGCCTTATAATATTATCGACATACCTTGCTGATGAGTTCAACTCACTGGAAACCTAAGCACAGGTTTTCGTGGCTACCATCTCCTACTGTCTTGCTAATTGAACGTGGGTGAACAACTTCGGTTTGTTCATTGGCTGATTGATTGGATATAAATATTTCAGCTTATATTTTCATTGAATCAAACCATAGTACGTGATTTTCTTTTTGTTCGCTTTTTTTCCCTTTTAGTATTTAAACAAGTATTCATAACCTCGTTAATCAGATTTATAATCTATCTTTGAAACCTGTAGATGAAATAAATTAAATATGGTTACATTAGTTCATCCATTAATTCTTTTTGTTTCTTATATTGTTGAGATAGATAAATGGCATCCCACCATAACCTTTATTTCATTGATCCTATATTATCATGTTTTCCTTCGGCTACTTCTCCACTGTCACATAGAGTAGCTTGTTTGTCTGTCGACCAATCAGAATAAAGGTCTTCTCAGTGTTTTGTTGACCTGCTAATAACCATTTTTAATGATTACTTATTTGTATGAATTGTTTCATTTCTTTTTTTCTGTCTTTTCATTGTTTAACAATTATAAACTCTGTATTCTGTTTCTGTCTTTCAGTATATATTGAAATATTTGTTCAATAATATATGATTACTCTTTTTATTTTTCCAAATTTTCCGAATATACTCAATTTCTAAATATACAAATTTTTACCCTTGTTTAACCAAGAGGAATGTTTACTTTTGGATATCTCATACCATTTTATGTAACAATGTCTAATCTTCCTAAATAATACCTATTCAACGTTCAAATCGTAACGCGATGTATGAAGAAGTTCAGAGCTGGTGGAATATATCACATTTAGAGAAGACATTAATTTCTAGCAAAATAGTTATACCTTATTTTTAGTCTTCTTTTTGCAAAACAAGTAGATTATTGAATGTCTTCTCCTACCTCTCTTCTGTTCTGCAAAATTACACTGTCCACGTCATGCGTTTCTATCTTCTTTTCATTCATCTGTCAGGTAGCCGATTCCAAGCAATGCTATCTACATACTACTTATATGCCATTTTGTGTGTAGCATCCACCAAAATATTACTTATTGAGATGAAACAGTTCTAGTACTTGCTATTGAACTGTTAGAATGTAGCTTCTACTCCTACTCTGCTTTCCAAGGAGTAGAAACCAACCAATCAGAACAATTATGAAATACGAATTCACATAGATTTTGCCTTTCATTCATTTTCATTATTCCTTTTCTAGAAATTGTTTTAGCTCCAAATAAACCTCAGTGATTTTTACGTTAAAATACTACAATCTATTGCGGACAGTACGTATGAAATTTCATTACTGTTTTCCAAACAATTCAACAACTCATAACTGGACTATTTGGCTAAAAATAACTAATGGCTTTGAGTCTGCGATCTGTAGTTGATAATTTTCTATTTACAATATTGGCATAATATTGTCTACTCACTGAATTCACTCGCATCCTAATGAATTTCTATGTATGATTATTACTTGTTCTACACACATTCGGTCCGATTATTTTCTTAACAGTAACGTTTTTATGTTTTCGGTTTTAGTACTAAAAAAAAAGAATTATAACATTCATTCTTATTATAATTCTTATGGCTAATAGCCGAATAATGTTTAACTGTTTATTTTTTTTTTCTGGTTTCTTCTTCTAATGTAGTTTTATCTATCACCGAAAGAAAATGCTACACCTATACGTATTTTGCGTAATTCAGCTTTACATTTAAATGGTCCAGCTAGGCCACTTGGTGCAGTACTTGTCGGATATCAAGGAGTCCGAACATTCAACCCTAGTCCTGTTTGTCGTCTTATTCATTGTGTCACAGGTGGTGAAGGTATGCGAATCGGTTTAGCATTGATTGCTATGGCACAAGATGTCGAAACATTGTATGCATCGAATAAAGCAGCTTGTACATTAATCAGATGCAATGCAGCTGCATCGATTGAAATGTTACGGACTAGTGGTTATCAAGTAAGTATATTTGTATAATTTTTCTCTAGGCTGGTTGGTTTAGTTGTGCAGCTTCACGATTAACCTATCCAGCTCAGATTACCCGACAGTTCCAAAAACTCCTATCTTAAACTACAAATATTCTCCATTATATTACTGTGTACAACTGTCAGAGTTTTATAATTATCTTTTATTTTACAGATATATGCTGTTCTATTGCGTCGTAAACGTCATCTGCTCACTACTAGAATATTGGACTCAATTCTCAGTTTAACACTGAATATGAATTCATGGACTGATAGATCTCCTACATCACAGGTTAGTCGGCTATTATTTTGAAATTATTAAATGTTATGTATCATTGTAGTTTAATACTTGTTTAAAATAGTTCTCTGAAGTAAAAAAACTGATCTGTTTGTCTTATTCGGTTTGTAGTGACTGTAGATATTTCCGAATAGTATTAAAGATCTGTTGTGAAGAAATTTTGTTCAGAAGAGAATGTGAAAGAGTTACTAACCCTGCATTTGAAACTTTGTTGCAAGACACTGATTGTCCTCAAATGTTAATCAGGAAATAGAGGAAAGCACTAGTGAAGAAAATACACCATTTGCTAGAAAGTTCGTCTTTATACAGCTTAGCTTCAGAAGTAATAAAGTAACTGATATAGTTGATTCTGGACTAAGATCTACGTAAAAAAACGTATTCAGCCCCTAAACCTGTCTCGTTTTATTAAATAAATCGCTTATTGGAACAGATGTAAAATGATAAATACTGATCTCAGTGTAACTGTAATCATGTTTACTAAGTTACGTTAACGTGCCGAAGAAAATGCATTGGAAAACCAAAACATAAGGAATGATCGTTTTTCATGTCTTTCGGGACTAAAAGTTCAACAGTATGATTGCCTGTCATCGATCATTTTGATATGGAAAATAATGAGCGAAGAAATTAGAATCCCTTCTGCTTTTCACTAAAACCATTAGTATTTGATGGCGAAAATAAGATTTGTGAATTCAGAGAAATGTTTTTTCAGTCTCCGATTACCTTGGAGACCTCACGTTCCGGCACTTGGTGATTTGTCTCTCACTGAGACACGATAAATACTTGCTGGTTGCTTCCGAAATCTTCGTATATCTGGTACCTTTGAATCATGGATGATATAGAGCTGCGAGGAAAAAACAAAACCTTTACCTATAGGTTCCTTTATATACAAAGCGGGAGTATTTAGAGGTTAATGGACAATCTTGCCATTCTGAAAGAATGCTAAATGTACTACCGAAAATGGTCATTATCCGATTATAGCGTGACACGTATTCCTTCATTTTACCTGAGATTTTCATAATGATTCCATTGGATTTCAGTTTTTTCAAGCGCTATCAACATTTTATGCGTAACATTCAGTTTTATGCTCTCAAACTATAAATTCCTTTTATTCCTTCTTATATTCTATCTAAAGTTTACTGATCTTACTCTCTCAGTAGTCACTTTTGTAATTTTTTCCAGAACTCATGTTCATAGTATGAATGTTCATACATAAATAACTAATTGTATGAACATTTCCTATATTTTTTCTATGCTTAGTATCCCCTTGTTTATGAGCGCGACTCTTGATTACATCTGTTAATATGATGCAAACTATGTATATCCGTTTCGAAATGACTAGATATTAGTTCGTGTACAATTGAAGAGAATCTATGAAACTAGTGAATTCCTATTTTTATTCCACTACATAGCATTTCGTTTGTTTAATTAAAAACGTTTTAATAGAAATAACAATTTATGTTTTATTTGTAAGTGTTTGTATCTTCCCGTTATTATTATTATTATTGTTGTTGTCTGTTTTGGGATATATGGATTCTGAATGAATTGGTTCAATATCACCATTTAGTTACATATATTTTAATCCTAATGTAAACATCAGCACTATTTATGCAGATACATTTATTTGACGAGTCCCGAACGGGACGTAACGCTCATCCTGGATTCCATTGTTTATCACAAAACAACTGTACTAAAAAGACAGTATTAATTATTTGTAATGCACTGTTCGTGTAATTTTTTTATTTCAAATTTTCAGACATTTCCTTCCATTGATCATCCAGCTTTTGAAGATTTAGTCTGTGATCTTGATTTGTGGCGTATTGAACGTGAATTAACTAACGATGCAGATATTCGCATTCGACACAATGCGTTGATCAATGGACAAACAATGAATGATGAAATAATTACGCACCAACATCAACAGCAACATTTCGATGAAAGAATACATTTTATCGAAGATGATTATCAATTAGTAGCCAGTCTTATTTCACATTTAATTGAACTACTACCGAATCCATTACCGAAATCAAATTTCCTACCTAATGGTAGTAATAATAATAATAATAAGTCATCAAATAATTGTGCAGCATACTCACCTACTGGGAGTAATGATAAATTTGATTTAGTAAGCTACTATTTTTGTAGTATTTATTCTGTTTTTATGTGGCTATTGTTTGTGGTATGTTCTAGTGTGTGAAAATATTTTCAATTGCCAAAAAAAAAACGTGGTTGCATGTCATGATAATACTAATAATGTAATTGTCATTGAGAATACATTTATTGAATGAATGATGGAATGGGACTTTTTCTTTGTTCATCTCTATACAATTCGATACTAAGTAATGTTGGTGAATCGGTTGATACTGTTGCTGCATCATTATTATTACACATGCTCAGCCATCTTGTTTCCAGACTCTCTGTAAACTGGTCAATCTAGTAATAATTTTGAAAAAAATGATTTGATTATTTGAGTTTGGTTCAGTGATATTTTCAGAATTCTAACTCCGATGGTTAGAGTTCGATTGGGACAAAATTTTTTGGTGCAGAACTTTACGTGTTATAATAAAAACAATTCTCAATATTGTCACTGTATTCGAATGTGATCTTTCGCCATACATTGAATCTTGAGATTGTATTGTATTAGAGATAAAATAATATTCTAGAGAGGTGGCTAGCTCATTGGTTAAGGGGTTTGGCTTCTAGCCACCAAGCCCCTCTTTCGAAAATTGCTTCATCTGCCCCAATTCGACCTACCTGGTAATATGTGACATTGTTAGTCTATGTCATTTGCGGTTGAATATTAATCTCATGTCTTCCCAAGTAATGAGATCGGTTGCACGCTGACTGGATCTCAGTACCTTATTTGATGATTGTAGAGCTATGACTTACATTTTTAGTGGGTTTCGTTGTATGACTTTCTGATAAGTGTATACACATAAATATTTATCTGTCTCTATGTATTTCTACTTAGTCTGTGCTATCTTTTTTTTTGATCTGTTCATAAAAAATGTCGTAGTGAGATCATTTTTCCTCATTTGTATGAGGCTTTTTTCACTTGAAATATTTACAAACGATTTTCTCACGTGTAGAAAATGTTAGATCAATATCGACCTTTATGTAATATATATATATACAGCTAAAATGCAATGAAAAATAATTTTTGTGTTGTATAAATTTCAGTTTAGTAGGAACAGTATCTAAAGTGGAATAGCGTAAATTCACTTAGTTTCCTAGACTCTTACAACCATAGTTGAATTACAAATATACACTTCATGAGTAGAAAGGCAGTTAAAGCCTCTGTTAAGGCATAGAATAATATCAATGGGTTTTCAGTCAAGTGTTCTATTTATAAGTCGATTCGATCATTATTCTATGAAACAATGAGGTCTAGACAGAAAGTTGATTTAAGCAGGATGTTGGTTTCAGTAAAATTTACAGAAATAGGTTGTTTTGCATATTTTAGTTGGTATAAGTAGTAATTTACTTTTCACACAAAGTGATGATTTCAACGTTCACAATACAATAAACGTTTACTTCTGAGTGGAAATATATAAGCTTGTAGGTCGTTTAATCACAACACTTATCGGAAAATATTTTGAAACCTTAATTTTTGATTTAAAAATTACAGTCTTAAGGATATCGTGAACTGTGACTCATGATGTATGCTCAGAAAACCTGTACTATCTTTCCTATTTCCAAGTGTGGATACTTGTAAAATAAACTATTTTTCCCCACATTATAAGTTTCGAAATTTATAAAAAAATGGTTAATTTTTGTTGAGAAAAAAATTACTTTTAATATGCAGCTGGATTGTGATGCACCGGAATCGTCATTTGACGAGTGATCGCCATGTTAAAATAAATTCAACTAATTATTATTTCGTTTACTATTATATTAGAGCTTTGGGAAAATTGTTGCATTGTTATAGTCTAAATCTCTAAACCACGGGCCAGCTGGTTTTTCTAGTAGAAGACTTCCCATATATATATATATATATATATATATATATATATATATATATATATATATAATTTATTAATCACCTTCTACCTGACAGTCGATGTTACTAGCGTTGCAGTGAATTAGATCATGATTGATCGATTTTCTGTTTAACAAATTACTGAAATATTATGATTAATTCGTAGTGTTTGTTTTTATACATGTAGCATGCAAACATAGTGTTGTACTCATTAATTCATATTGATTTTTTTTTACTTTACTACCCTCCTCTATTCGTCCATTTATTCGTTTAAACAAACAAAAAATGTTTTAGATTATTCATCCAATATGGAATGTAATATTTGATCGTGTTATTTATCTATTAATGAATGCGTATTCAAATTGGACACAAGGGAATTATAGGCATCATTTAATAATTGACGTAATTGGACGAGTGAATTTTACCAATTCAAGTCTTTCATTTATACGAATGTGCTTATCTACGTTCGCATCACCAAAATGGCTTTTACGGTAAGATATTAGAGAAAAAGAAATATTATTGTCATTGTCATTACTGATTATTTCATTTCGAATTTTCTGTGACCATTTGAAATCGATGTTCCCTTGTTTTATCAGTGTTAAATTTGAGTAATAAACTTTAGAATAAATTTTAGATCGTATATATATATATATATATATATGTTTAAGTACGACATATCCTTGCAGTTCACTGTCATACATTTTACGCAGGGATTAAATACTGTACAAGAAACTATGATAATCACGATAACTATATTTATGTATATGTGCATAATTTCCGGATATATTTTTCTCGGTATCAACCTGGTTCCACCCTTTTCCACATGGTGATTCGTATCAACTTGTAAACTATATCCTACCTTTCGAAGCAAATACTGATTGCATCTAATGTATGTGCGTGTGTCTGCTTGTCTGATTGTTATATTGTTATTGTTATATTTTGATTAGGTAGTGTTTTTCATTGTTTTATTGTTTCCGAAAAATAGCCATTCATTAATCATGTTTCTTTTTCTATGCACATGGAAAATTGTCAACTGTGTTTCAGTTTACCTACATAGTCTCAATTCTGTCTTGCTGTCGATGTAACACTAAATTTTTTAATTACAGTTGTTTCTTGTCAAAAAGCTGAACTGGTGCAAAGCTTGTGATTTAGACACAGTCGCTCATTGATTGTCTGATGAATTTGTCATTCTATGAATTAATCGTAAAATAACGTTCGTAAATTTTCATTTCATAATTGAAAATGCTTTAGAAGTTCGAAAATGTTCTTTATAACTTTTTTCCCTAGTTTTTCAATATTTAATTTGGTTGAATTGTAATGTAATCCAGTAGTATCTAGGACTGTTCTTTTGCAATGCATGTTTCGTCTTATTTTTGATTTCATCAATGGAATGTACATAAGTTTCTAAAAGTAGTGATATTACGACTGGGTCTCTGATAGATCAAGTGTGTCCAGACAAGTTCTGTGTTACTGGTTGGCTGGAAGAATAATTAATCTTTCAGTTATCGATCAATTTACTGGAAATTACCCAGTTAAACCCTGATTATGACACCGTTGTTAAAGTTAATTCGCATCACAAATATCATTTAATAAATCATTGAGAACCGCCTAACTCATATCATTTGGTGACTAAAACACTCAGGCTCTACAGATCTCGACAAGTTACTCATTTTTATAAAATCTAGTTTACTTAGAGTGAGATGTATATTTTTTCTGTTCGTGTGATAACAGAAGGGAGAAAGTAAGTGGTCTATAATCTAATAGATCACAGGTGTTCCATAACGGAACATTCGACATAATGGAGCTTTAGTCACAACTGAACGGATATTGTACTCATAAAACAGACCCATTGATCCCGGTTATCATCATGAGACGTCATAAGACTTTTTTGAATGAATACCTAACTACCAGGTCAGAGTTAAAATGGTTTGAATGATATTTTCTGGTTAGGGTTAGTTTTCTACAGGATGGGGTCTCCAACACCATGCTCTAACTTCTTCCTTTATCCGGGCTTGGGACCGGCATCGCCCCAGAGGGGCTCAGGGTGGAGTTAAAACAGCATATTAGTGTATTAAAAAAATCCATTTATATATTTATATTTATATATTGTTCCCATTAGATTTTGTCAATTAATTGTTTGGACGTTACCGAGCAGTTCACAAACAAATGAAACAGTTATTTCACTTGACCAGTCCTATGTACAAACATCAAATAGTGGTGGTGATGATGGCATACTTATGCGTAAGTTTTTTCTGTTTTTCTTCTTTCAGTAAATAATGGGATTCATTATGAGATTTTTAAATGGTTTATTTCATTATAAATGATTTTATGGTCGGAGGCAATCGATTGTAAACTGTAGACCTAAGATTCACGAGACTTGGAACTGGACAGCAAGAGAGTGTCTATAACATTTTGCAACCTGATGCTCCATATTTTATTCGAAACAAATCATCTCACTTCATAGTATGGAATTTTATCTCTGTGGTATTCAGGTGGTGATTGATCTTTTGTGGGATAGATATTTATAGTTGGCTGATCGTTGAGTGGTTGTCACCCATGTCGTGTTTTTTGACTGTTTATTGCTGATGTAATTTTATCGATGGAATTGTACTGTCTCTATTAGTATGATAGTTTATTATCAATTTAATTCTTATCTATGCCTTTGTGAAATTATTTCATTAAATCGTCTAATTTCAGTGATGAAAATTGTATGATAAACAAACCTGAATGTTTAGTCAAATCATATTCATATTATTTATGATAGATTTTAATGGTTAAGTCATTGAAAATCAATTAACCAACCAACTACTACTACTATTACCGATAATAATAATAATAATAATAATAATAATAATAATAATCACTTTCTCACTCTTTTTGAATAAATAGATTATTTGACTTTGTTTTTTATTAAAGTGAAACTGCAAAAGTACAAATCCACTGCTTACATGAGTCTACATGATTTATGAAAGTGTTTTTCATCAACTATAATATGATGTTTGAAAGATATTCATAAGTATTTCACTATTATTTCTTTCTTTCTACCTTTTCTTCACTTATCACACCCCCTATTTTCCTATCTATTGTGAACACTTAAGTGGATATTTATACATTTTTGTTGTTATTATTTTCATTATGTGGTGGTTGATTTAAAAGAATAACAAAAACATAGTCTGCACTATCTCTGCATCGAACAAACTGGGGGAAATGGGAACTTGCGCATATTTTTTTATTCTTTTCGATAACAGAGTTTATATTTAATTCTGATTTGTTTTGAAGGTGACTTCATTTCAGTGCGCAAATATTACGTTACATGTTTCTGTTTTCAACTAAACGTTCGAATGTAAAGTAATAATGACAGTAGTATACTTGACAGCTTTCTGGAATGGTTTTATCTGATTAGTTTGCAAGGAACTGGAGCATTTCGCTTATGTTATCATCATTAAATAAGGTGGACGATGTATATATTACAAATAAATTGATTGAAAACTTATAACATTTTCATTCTACTTGTCAGAAACAAGTCAACACAACTGGTTCAGCACATCTAACATAGTTTCTTATGTTTTATTTATTGTCCTGATTTCACCGAGCCCCTCATCTTGGTATTGTCACTAGTCTATTTGTTTTTTCTGAATCTTAGTTATATCTCCTCTGCTTATTTTGTCTAATCTGTATTTTTTTCTTTCTTTTCACAGTATCCACTGAATTGTCAAAATATCTTATTATCTTGAGAAATCGTTGTTTAGAATCACTTATTCACCTGATCACAGAAACAGATGGTATAAATGAGAGGTAAGTTTATTGAATTCATTTATAATATACGATGGCAATAAGAAATTTAAGTAGATGAAATAAAGCATAGGTTTACCCATTTTTTATTTCCGTTGTAGTGAATGTTGTAACATATACTCAATGAACATAACGTTCTAGGTTCGAACCCTACTTCATCAACTTTGGTTTAGACAGACAGGTCATACCATTATTCTTCACACTTAGAGTATGGTGTGTTCCCAAGTATCTAGTGAAGTTAATTTATGTACAGTTTTAGAAACTGGCTTTTCACTCAGTTTATAATTCCAAAACCAGATGGGAAAATCGTTGTTCCTTGTAAGCGAGTAGCATGGTTCTATCCTACTAAATAGCTCATTTTATTTCACTCAAAGGTAAATTATCAAAATTTTCAAGAACAAGAGGCTTTCCCAACTAACGGGTAACAATCTTCCATCTAAAACAAGACGAGAGTGATGATGATGTAATTCTCAGACTTTCTCAGATCGCTTTTCTTCGGTATTTTGATGAAGTATCCTTCTTTCCAATCTGTTGGTACTTGTTCTTCATCCCAAAACTTGTTGAAGAGAATGTGGAATATCTTTGCAGTTGCTGCTGCATTCGCTTCCATTGCCTCTTTTGGGTTGTTGTCTGGTCCCGCTGCCTTGCCTCGGTTGATTTGTCTGATGGTTGCGCTAATCTCTTCAGTTGTTAATGTGCCAACATCGACTAGTAGGTCTGTGGGTGCCGCTTCGATTTCGGGTGTTTCGTATGGGTATGTTGATTCAAGAGTTCCTTAAAGTACTCTACCCACCAGTTTCGCTGCTCATCAATGTTGCTGATTACTTCTCCTTCCCTGATTTATACTGGTCGTTCTGGTTTACGATAGTTTCCATAGAGCTTCTTTGTTTTACCATATAGTTGTCTTAAGTTTCCTTCTCTTGCATCCTTTTGTGTTTTCGTTGCTGGATCTTCCATATATTTCCGTTTGTCAGCTCTTATGCTCCTCTTCGCTTACTAGTTTGCTTCTGTGTATGCAGCTTGTGCCTTAACTTTCTCTGCTCTTGTTTGGCTGACATTGGTTGCTGCCTTCTTGTTCCTCCTTTCTTCAATTTTTGCAAGAGTACCAACAGACCTCCAATCCTTGTGATGGTACTTCTTGTGGCTCAGAAGCTCCTGACTTGTTGAAGTGATTGCCTCCTTGATCACTTTGTAATCGTTCGCCGTGGTAGTTTGCTTTCCATTGAGTAGATCGTGCAAAGCCTGGAAACTATTGTTGAGGGCTAGCTTAAGTTCGTTAAGTATGTCAGTATTCCGAAGAAAGGCCATGTTAAGCTTTTGTGATGTTGTCCAGTGCTTCTTGAGTTTCAGTTTCTTTTTGGTTACCAACAAGTGGTGATCTGCGGCTTTATCATTTCCTCTCTTGGCTCTTATGTACATGGCGCTTCTGAACTTTTTATTGATACAGATGTGATCGATTTGGTTCTGTGTAGTGTGATGCGTTGAATTCGATGTAGGTTTGTGTGTATGCGTTTGTGTGGGAACATTGTGCTACCGATGACCAGTTTGTTGAAGGCAGATAGGTTTGCAAACCTCTCACCATGTTCGTCCCTTCTCCCAATCTATGTTGTCCCATGATGTCTTCATATCCAGTGTTGTCCATTGCACTTTAGGCATTCAGGTCTCACATCAGAATTGTCAAGTCTTTGGATGAGCACTTCTCGACAACTGACTGAATTCTCACATAGAATTTTTCTTCATTGAAGTCGTGGATATGTGCATAGCATTAGATGACGCTCATTATAATGCCCTCTTTCTCTGTTTTGAAGGATGACTTGATGATCCTTGGTTCATATATATTCAAATGTTTCTCATATTATTCTTATTAGTAATCTATATCATGAAGTCGATGCAAATTAATTGATCGTTAAAAAATAAAAGTGGGATCGGTAATGCTTTCTTTAGCCATGTGCTGAAATATTCATATTTGATATATATAGACCAATTTAGGATAAATTGATTGTATGCCAGTATCGTAATCCAATAAATTCATTTCTTCCTATTTGGGGTTTATCACCTTCAATTCCAATGGTAATGTTCACATTGAGACACGATATATACATATCTATCAAATAACTCTGGTGTTAATTCGTTTTTAACTATCAACAAACGGCATTATTTCAAACCCTTACTGATCTTGATTGTATTTTGCATTGTTTTGATCAGTGAAAATTCATCCGTTTACGTCATTTAATATTTGGTTGATTTCATTTCAATAAAGATGACTATAAATACAATAGTTTGAATATTTCCTAATAGATGAAAATAACTGTATGCGCATGCCTTGTGGAGTTTCATGTAATCATTTATTTATCGATCAGCTTTACTGCAAACAACTTTTACTATTTACATGTTGCATAATATAGAATTTGTTTATATACTTATCCATGCCTATTGTAATCAGTTTAATTAGGAATCCTGATGATGTTTTTTTTCAGTATTCAATGAAGTACATCATTAACAGTCTGCCTTTTTTTTCCTACATTAAGAACATACAACTATTGATTTGTGAATGACAACAACAATAACAGTAATAATAATAATAAGTAGCATTGTTAATACATAGTCATAAAATGTATAAACAAATAGCGTGTAGTTATGATATTTTATTATTGTCATGATTTTACTACTTTAGGCAGTAAAACAAAGTATATGATCATCCTAATAAGATAAGGAATAATCGTTGATGCATTATTGTATCAGTAAAAATGTTCAATTGAATAATAATATTATTTATATAAATATAAATATTCATAGACTTCACTTCTATCCGAATTTTCTGCTGATGATGTTGTTCAGAACAACAACGAAACCTCCACAACTGAAAAACATCTAGCTCAGAGAACAAAACACCAAAATATTCATAGATAATTAGTTGAATATCTTAGAATAGTTTACAGTTCCTATTAGTTGATTTTGTTGATACAATGAAAGTCGATAGGTTTATAGTTAGTTTCTTAGATGATTTGATATGTATAATTAGAACAACACTTGTACATTAGCGAAAAATATTATTTTCAATTACATTGTTTTCAGGCTTTTTACTCTAGTATGCATGAGTATTTGTATGATAATGTCAAATTAATCATAGCAGTTTATCAGTTAATGATATCCAGAATGAAATCGATTATCTAACTACACATAATAGGCAAAGAGTACAAGCTAATAGTGAGAAGACAGGCGTGTTACTAATGGTGAGAACAATGAAGTATCACTGTTAATTTATACTTTATACTTGTGGTTCTGCAATCTCCTTCACTATGATCATTAGCTCATAGATTGCCTTGATTGGTTTAGTATTTTCATATCAATAAATAAATAAATTAGAATTAAACCTGATGACGACCTAAATGATTTGAAACAGATGATGGTCAATTTTATTGCCATGTAATCATGGTATTTAATACGCATCATTACCTTAGTTTTTGGTAAGTTTTTGTTTGTAAGTTTATGGTACAAACATAGATTGTTTTTGTTTCCTCATAAATCATTAATTTTAATGTCAATCTGTGTAATACCAATATTTCAGGTGTAACAAAAATCCCTTATCCTCATTTTTGTCAAAGGTGTGGCCAAAAAATCTTTTCATAATAGTCAACTTTTTAGATGGTTTATAATCTAAATGGTATGTTTAAGTTTTTGTTCACTTTTAACTAACTGACCTGGAAAGTGTTCACACGGATGTTTTTGTACTGAATGCGCAAGGTATCAAATGTATTTATCACTACAAAAACAAAATACATTGTTAATTACTCACAATGGAATTAATTGAACAGGAGAAAAAACTCTTGTTGTTGCAATAGATTTCTTCGTTCGCTCATCTATTTACGAATATTGTTGTGTATATATGTTTTAAGTACTTTCGATTTTTGTTTATAGTGTTCATCTCAAACTTCCCACGTTCGACTTATTGCTAAAAACCATGTAGCGCTGGACGGCTGTTGCATTGAAGTATAGAACTCTTCAGCATTGCACTCCACGACCCTCGATACTTTAAAGTCTTGGGTTCAACCTAAGTGGTGTGTGTGTTGGTGACTGTGGTGACTGCACACTACTGGATGGATCAACTATGACTTGTTTGTAACAAATGCAACCTATTTATGACTTTGTTGTTGTTTTTTTTTACATTTTCTTTCTTTTAGATTTTGTAATGAGCTATTAGGAGCAGTGGGTTTTGATTGGTTCTACTTGTTGTTACGTCCAAATATACATTCATCCACCATTTCCTATGCATTACATTTATTGTTATTATTAATTTTAAATCCTGGTCATTCATTCACTTCAAATTGTACTATATTACAACAAAATTTATCATTTATTCTAACACAAATGGAAGCAAACTCAGATTCTTCATTCAACGAAGCATTACCGACTACAAATCATCTTCAAAAATGTTTAGACAGTGATTGTGTAGTTGCTTTTCGACTAGGCTGCCCTGCTGGACGCTGGTTACGTGGATGTGAGGTTTTATTGAAGAAACGACATGGTCTTTTGATCGGTATGTTTTAATGTTTCTGATAAAGAATGTTACTAATATATGACTGATATTGTTGCAGATGTTGTTTATCATCTGAATGACTAATTAATGTTAATCAATCGGTCACATCAAATTTTTATATACGTATTTATCCGATTATTCAAGATAACAGGCCTTATGCAATAAACTCGGATTAGAAATATTATTGTATATAATGTTTAGATTTTATGGTTATTGTTGTTAATATCTGTTGTTCGTTCTTACAATGAAGGATCACTCAGAACAGAAACCAATGCCTATTGTAAGTTATTTCCATAACTAATTGTAGTTATGTCATAACTAACCAATTTATTGTACTAATGTAATTGTTTTTATGTTTAGAAACAGATAAAGTTTAAAGCACAAGTTGGTCTTGTTCTGACTATAGCTTTCCCATAGACCCTGTGCTCGCTAATATTGCGTTTACAGTTCTAGAAGTACATCTGTAGGACAAATTAATTATTGTCTGACATTCTCTATAAGAATGGAAAGAACCTTGTAATTGAAAATTTTTCTTAGTTATATTTTTAGCTAGACTGGAACTCGTGTTATATACATTTTTTTGTTGACTGATTCTTTCTCTCTAATATCTTTTCTACTGTACTCAACTTCCGTACTTTTCTCCCTTTTCTTCATACTGTTATTTAATTCAATTTTCAGTGCCAATTTATGCTAAATTTACGTGTCTAAATAACAAATATTATGTTGATATGGTTTACATCTGATTTCATTTACCGTTTTATTACTTCCAACCTGTATTCCTACTTTGCATGAGCATCATCCTAGTATTTGTTTTACTAATTCAAAATAGTTATTAGGACTCTTATAATTCATCAGAAATATAAGACATTTGTAGACATCGATTTTCTGCTTATCAAACATGTATAAACTGATTAGCTTATGCAGTTATAATATTTGTTCTTCACTTTACTCTTATTGTCAATCAATCATATATAGTGTTATATCGTCTACTCGTTAATAAGTTCTTTTTTTAAATTTCTTTTCTTTTCTGATTTTTAAACACTAGATAATTCCAAAAATTCAACAAAACGTAAACCTCCACTACGTTATACTGCAGCTCTTCGTGATTTGAAATTATCATCATGTCAACAGCCAGGATTCACTATGCTACAAATATTATTACCGTATCATTTAGATTTGATTGAAACATTTCTATTTCTGTTTGCTTTATTTTTAAAAATCCCAGTACGATGTTTGCCAAGAAATGTTAAGGTAACTTCATAGAATTTTTAAGAACGTTTTTGATACTTTGCCTATGTATAAATATTCATTTGTATTCATTGAACTTAAGCAAAACTACTAATTTAGTAAATAAATAGAAAATTAGGTAAATGTTTGGGGAAATATAACGTGTTAGTTAAAAAGTTATTAGTTCTTGTCGGGGTGTACCAAAATATTCCTCGTGAAAATCAATTCAGCGTTGAATAAATCCCTCACAGATACATCTAGACAAGACAGAATTGCGTGCCTCTTTTCTGGTTGGATATTTAGCCATATCACTGCTATATTTTGTGTGTTTCTTGCACTATCCAGAAGCTCAATGTCATGAGTAATTTTTTCAAATGCCCTAATTTTTTGTACACAAAATAACTGTGAAGTAAAGCGTTGTTTTCGTACTTCTCGCCTTTTCCCTTGTATGGATTTATTCTGAGGTAGGAAATCAGATTTCGTATCCATTTAGCAGACTTATTAATTCTATGATTTTGAACAACTAATTATAATTTGATATGAACCATGGAACGTAAGAAACCTCAAATGGGATGATCGTTCTTTCTCCTGTGAAGTTACATGTTTCGTAGTGTGAACATTGAGCGGGTTATTCAGGAATGAACTTTATTATTGTTCTCATCATCATTGTAATGAATTTATGCCTTCACGCATTGTGTTCTTTGGTCTTGAGGCTTCCAAGTTAGGACTTGTCCCGTTATGCAGTTTTGAGAATAGACACATTTACACCATTGCAAACAATTTTAACCCATATTACTGGAGTCTCTAACCACTGGTTACAATTATCACATGGACTCCAACCAGATAATCTACGCTTATTAACATGGATCAGTCCAGGTTTTTAGTGACTTCATGGATTTGTGCCATGTTTTTGTTTGGCCGCAGCTGGCTTTTCTCAATCTTTTATTAAATTATATTGATTAATATCGCAATATTTTTTTTGTCTCAAATAAACACGTATATGTTAATATGATGAAAAGATTAATACCATGGCAATTGGTTAAAAAAGTTATTTCTATGTTTGTCTTGTATGTTAGAAAAGTGAAGTAGTATTAACGTCTATGGAAAAAAAATAAATTATTTTTCAAAAAACTAATTGCAATATCATGTGGTTTGTAATTTTTTATTTTACCAACTTATGAAAATTATAATTATTTTGTTGAATATCCATTTTATTTTATATTGATGCTTCTGTTAATTTTTTTCTTGCCCTTTTAGTTTGATTTCGATACATTTTATTCATTGATTGCATGTGAAAACAATTGTATATCACCTACAATAATAAAACGTGAAATAGTAAACTCTGCTAGTTCAATAGTTAATGCTAATCGTCCAACTCGTTCTACGTCATTTATGTCATATAAGGAGACTGGATTCACTGGCAATCGTTCAGTTAATACGTCTTCAACTGCTAAAAATATTAACTCACTGGTGACTAAATCACCTGTATTTCCTGCGAAGAATACAGATGTCAATGCATCACATATGCCTAATTCATCGATGTCGACAGTGCCACCTACATTTGTTGGCAATAATCTGACAGGATCCACTATTAATCAATATTCAAGTCAATTCATATGCCCTGAGGCGGGCACACTTATCTTGCAACTCATTCGTTTCTTAATATATCAGGTAGTTATTGTTTTTATTTTACTAGAAAATAATTGTTACGCTGCAATTTTAAGAAGTAATCTTAAACTATTTATCAGTAATAATGTTAATGCTTATTGATTGGGAAGAGATTACACAATGAATTCATTCTTTTTTTAAGTTCATCTATAGTACGAGACATCCAACAATACTTGTCTCGTGTGTAAGTATTATAATATCCGAAGCAATTGTGGCATTTAATTTCCATGTTACATTAAATTTTAAACATTTTATTTTCTAAAAAGTCACCTTATTTTATTCTTATTTTTTTATTTATGTTAATCTCTTTTCAGCCTGAATCATTTCAACGCTTCAAAATAACAGAATTCAACAATCTTGTAGAGGGCAAAACTCATAATCTATCAGACAACATGGAATCCGCTGTCGTTGTTCTTAAATTTATGATTTATCTATATCAATCAAAACCAGCGGTTCGCCTAGTTTTCACGACACCAGGTTTATTGATAAATTTAATTGGATTACTTATTCCTTTTTCAAATATGAACAATAATCTGTCTGCATTTCCCAGTCCTATAAAACGTTCAGTAAGTTTGTTTTGCTGGTTGTTTTCTCAAGATATTCGCGCCTTCATAATTTGTTGTGTTTTGTGTCTGAACTAGTTAGCGTTATGATTGTTTAGAACTAAGAAATCAATAAGAGAGAAAGAGATAGTAATGTATCAGTGAAACTATGGTCTTTCACTTAAAGCACTACGATATCAACTGGTAAACCATGGATCTGAACTCTGCTTTTGCTGTTGTGACATACGGCAACAATACATGATAAATGTTCATGGTTTGTTATAAATAACTTAATCCACCTTGACCCATAGTTTCCAAGTGAGGCCTTGTCTTGTGACGCTGTTAGGTGCTCTCCTCAATATGTGTTCTATCCACTTCAATCGCTTCTTCCTGATTTCTCTCTCCCTCCATTGGAATCTGGTTTGTTCTCTTCCACAGTAGGTTGTTGCTGATGGTGTCTGCCCAATGAATCAGAAGTATTTTGCGTAGATAAGTGTTAATAAATACTTGTATCTTCTGGATGATGTGTTTGGCAGTTTTCCAAGTTTCCGCCCCATACAGTAGAGTTGTCTTGACATTTGTATATATATATGATTCAAATGTTCTCAATATATATTTTTCCAGGTGTAATTTTATAACTGCATTGTGAAAATATTGTAAACACATACTTTATTTAAAAGTAATAAGAATGATAAGGTTAAAAATGTTGTCAGTCTTCTTCTTTGCATAAATATCTTTATCACACAAACATGACCATACAATATAATCTAGTAGTCTGTAATATAATCATTATTTCCATATCCATTTTATCATCATCAATGAGAGAAATCAATGTTCTTTGTTGTTTGTGCAGTTAAATTTATGTGTCTCTATGTCTGTTTGTTTTTTTTAAATGAAATTATTATTGACAAACAGTGAGTGTTGAATCTGCTTATTATTTACAAATCAATGAAAATTATGATAAATTATGTAGTAGCGTATCACTTGTTAATTTACTACCAGTTGTGTATACTTAATAATAGTATATGTAATTTCAGTGATAGTTTACTTGATTAATTATATTCATTGTTAATAAATTCATTAGTTCATTTTTGTTTAAACAGGTTATTCTTGTTTATCAGTTTGACCGGATAAGTTACTGATTTAGACAATAGTACGTACACATTAAGAGGATGTTTGGTTACAGAGCGTGCATTGATATGCGAGTTATTGTCTCTAATACAACCTTGGTAGCTTCTTTTTTTTTCTTAATGAGCGTTGCTTATCATCCAAGGTAAAATATGTATCAATACAAATCAGGTATATTATGAAGAATTTTATTTTGTTGGCTTAAACTATGTATATCTGTCACAGTCAAAAAAATCAAATTCCGGAATCTTCTAGAACGTTCCAAACCTTCCAGTCATAAATGCTGAATTTTCTTGGACGATGAACTAATTCAAATATAATTGTGTCAGTATGATAGAGATTAAAACCTAGTTAAAAAATATCTGGTCTAATTTATCCATTAATAGTGATTAGTTCAGCTGTTAAGAGTGGATCCTAGAATAAACACTCATTTAGCGCATAGTTATATTCAATATAAATGTCAGAACATTTTGACACTGCACGCATTCATGAAGCAAAGGCTAGATCTCTCTTAAGAACAAGTTAATTTTGTAAAATAATCATATAGTACCGTTAATTTATTTATTCACTTTATGTTTTTAGTTATCAAGTCATAAGAATCTTGTCGATCAATTATTATCATTTTCATCATCATCATCATTATCATCATCGTCACCAACAACATCAATGCAACCATCAAAAAATTCAGTGCAACAAATTACATTAGATTTTATTAAATTGATTGTATCCGATAGTTTCACTTTACATCCATCATTTCTACAGCCTACACATATAGTGGATATAATTTTAGAAGTAAGTTCTCTACTATGTCATACTATTGTCTGTTTGTCTATGTGAATGAGTTTTTTCTTTGTTTCAGTTTACTCATTTTCTACACTGTTCATGTTAGAAATGTGTTTCTATGACACGTTCTTATTTCGAATAATTTAACACCAAGTGTACATATTTTAACATGTTTTATTGGTGGATTTTTATGGCTTGCTTGTTTTATATCGTGATAACTTTTAGTGTCTGTCATTGTCACTTTGTTGCAGTAAAAAGTTGGATGGATATTTGTTTCTGTTGAATGGTTAATAAAAAGGTATTCGATAGCGAATCCTGAACCTTGGTTTTATCCTGCTTGCCACTTGTCAGAGTGGCTCCTATTTTCGGCCAGCTGATCTTTCCAATAATATTTGAATTCGTGCCACCCAGCTTTCATCCTGAGATGTTATGGAAGCAGTTGACGTATTTTGGGACCGAAGTATTTACACTAGATATATAGTTGAGTGTTGATTAGATTCGCTTGATGCTGATTGAATTTTTATCGGTCAAGTTGCTGGCACTCCTTGCTAAAGCTTGGCACCTAGCACGACGATTCTTGATGAACAATTCCAACCATACAAATGCATACGATATCAAATCTTCTAAACACTTGCCTACATTGCAACTTGATCGATAGAATCTGATCCACATTACGAGAAAGTAAATGATTATGGGATTGAGCACTACTAAGTGAATAATCAGTTGTAAGCATCTGTTTGAATCGGCGAAGTATATGAAATAAAGATGTATCTATGAAGAAAAAGTGTATTGTAATAGGTTTTCTACTGGTTTGTTTCTTTGCTAAATTAGTTTATCAACATACATCAATCTCAAATAGTTCCTATTAATCACTGCACATCTCATGCTGTCTTGAAATATTCATGTGCTGTTTTTCGAATTTATTTTCAGTAGATACATAAAGTTGTGAAGTGTAATTGAAGGGAAAATGCTTTATACTGCTCATCCATATAACATATTCTATCAACGTTAACTTGATAAGGACGATGAAGTTTTCTACGCTACGTTGTATTAAAAAAGCTGTAGTATTTGGTCTCTTGAGTTAACATGATAATTGATATTATAACTGCATACAGATCCATGTACCTGGTTTCCATCCCCATTTTCGGTATGGAGGCTGTTGCATACTACCTGGCTCCTCAAACCAGATAACCTGGTGGGTAAAGCTGTTACCTATGGCTTATTTTTTGAAGATCGAACAACGTAACTGCAATATTACCGTTAACTCCTAAACATTTAGTAAGGAATGGGAGTAGCGTTTGACAAACGATAGGCAATCCACTAGCATGTAATTGGAAGGAGCATGTTTGTTAGATATTTACTGGTAAAATCAGCTGACAACTTGACCGATTTGTAAACACCAAAGATGATTATATCGGGTGTGTTAATCTGCATTTTTTGTATTCTGTATAATTATATTCTGTCGTCTAGTTTGTTCACAGTAAATGTAATATCATTGTTTTCTCTTCACACTATCAGGCATGGTCTGATCAGTGTAGTTCAAAGGAACATCAACATTTACAAACATTGATTTTGTGCAGTTTAATGGATCACTTCTTAGCGACTGATATTCTAAACGACGAATCATTATGTGTTGAACCCAGCGGAAGTATTGATTATATTTCAGCGAATTTAATCTATTTTTCTGCGCGTATCGTCGACAAGCTATGGCAGGTATTTTAATCTCAGTTAAACTGTTTAAATTGAATTTGATTTATTTATTTATATTGCTTTTGTAGCTTATTTTGTAGTTTATTTCTAATAAATTAAAGTGTTATGCCGGTCCCGAAGCCCTTTTATAAAGGAGGAGGGTTGGGCATGGGGTTAGCGAATCCATCCTGTAGAAATTCAACTCGCTAAAAAAAACGTTAACCAGAAAAATAATTCGCTAGTTGGCGGCAGCCTATGCTCCATTAAGCGTAACAGACTTCGCATTTTTTTTAATACCGTGTTTTATAATCGTTACCTAATTATTTACGTCGGCTACTATGATGGAAACAGTAATAATGTGCATTTGACTGTTTTTCATATTTATAATATCATAAATTGAAAGCACAATTGTGAATCACGAAATTGATTTCGTAGCTTTTGCATGAATATTGAAGTAGGATAGATCTCATCCTATGCTCTGTAAATGCAATAGCAATAATTACCCTTTTTACTACTACAATCGTTTAAAATTATACTGAAATTATTTTTGTCATAGAGTAAAAATGATTAAGCGCTCTATTCTCTACACATGGATTGCACACAAATCACACACAAATCAACCGTGACCTTCAATCTCCTAAATCTAATCCTAACCTTTACCCGGAACCCTGACCAAGAAAAAGTGGGAACCTGTAAAGATTTCTTTTCATTTTTATGCGTTTTAAAAGACGAGTGTCATATAGACATATGAACAGAGTTATGTTATTCTTTCCACTTACATAAGTAGTACAGTAGACTTCAGTAGATCTATTAATTATGCATACTCTTAATAATAATATTGCTTTTTCCATAATCTGTTCGTTGATAGTAAGCTTTTTCTACCTGGCTGATAGACTTAATTTCGTCTCGTTTATTTCATTGCTAAAGCTGTTCTCTATACTCTTATGACGTCACGATCTACAGAATATACGCAAGTAACCAGTCCCAATAAAACTTATAGATTTCCAGTAGTACCTGTTGCTAATCCTAATCAATTTTTTTCATACTTAGTTTGTATTTATGACGTAAGCTATTTCACTATAGGAACATTCTTACTAGGAATCTTTTTTTCCCCTGTAAAATGCATCTGTAGTGATTACTTAGATTAGCTTTATCTCAGAAAAATATTTTGAAACCAAGTAATATCTATGGTGTGTTCAGTAAATATATCAACCTAGCTACTTGAGCTTGTCAGTAACGAGACTGAGAGAATGCTGCATACAATATCGAACACATTTTATCGAGAAAAATAGATCCGTTCAAGTAAATCAAGTGTTTTTTGGGGGGGAAGGATGTAAAAACTGCATAGAAGGTGCAGTGCCAATGTCAGCTTATTACTATGATGAAAACACCAAACATATATTGTCGTTTGTGTATGTTGTTCAGATGATCGATGACATAATAAATTTCAGTAGGTTTTCTGTGTACGTAATTGTGGCGACGTATTAAATAAAATGATGAAATGTAAAACGATGAAGCAGTTGATACCGCTGACTTTTGGAAAAACTTCTAGCAATGTTTCGAACAATTATTATCAATAAAGGAGATAAGTATCATTTGCATTTCAACAGAGAGGTTTCGATTCACTCTAAAATTTGTGAAATAATTTTTTAGTACTTTAATTTAAAGTCTAATTGGACTGCTTAGAACAAGAATACTATCATTATTATTGGTGTTTGATATCAAAAACAACTTTTTTTTTGTTCGACAAGACTAACGTTTTTAAAATTATCTCACAAATCCTAACCATGGATATTGTTATCAGTCTCCTGTATCAATGAAATCAATATTGAACAATTTGATTGATTGATGTCTTTCTTGTCTTAGTTTGATAATTTTTCCAATTGATTTCATTTTAATTCTGTACTGACCCAAATAGCTTCTTCATAGCGTATATGTTACCAGCTAGAATTTTCTTTAATGATTTTTTCTTACTTATTAAACATTTCTCATAAGAATGAAGTATAAACCATAAATGTGTAATGGCAACGAAAAGAAAAAATCATTTAGGTTGTCGATTCTTGTAACTTTAAAAAAAAAGATTAGTAAATAAGGTAATTGCTAAGAAAGTATCATAAAATGTTTTAGAAATTTCACACTTATTATGATTACTATCTGTTTGAAATATTTCGTCTTATAGCTTGAACCCATTTCATTGATTGGCTGCTTCAGTTCATACGTATTTAATAATAAATACTAAAATTCATTATGTTTTTACATTGAATATATATTATTAAGTCTAGCATGTAAATCCATAACCAGCTGTAACCAATGGAGTTCAACCATGTCTCGTATAAGGGGGGTAACTCACCAAAGACAATAGGAGCAGGGTTGCACAGTGTTGTAAATTAATTGAAGTTAGACATGTACACCATTTTATCCTAACTCAATGGTCTGAAGACTAAGCTCTCTCACAGTAAGATCTGAAGGTGCAAGGTTGGTCCCTTTTTGGTGGGATTGTGAATGCGCACTACTTCCAGGTTCCTAATAGTTGCCCTAGTGAGACCGGTCCATGATCCCAATAAACTCGTCATACTTATCGTCTCTGCAAAGCTGGATGTTGTGTTTGTTCTTTGATACGACACATGAATCTTTGGCTTTTAAGAGATTTTGTCTTTGTAGCCATTTCAGCAATTTACTCAACTGTTTTGTTTTGTTATTTACTCAGGGTTGTTTTAATAAAGAAGTCAATCGTATCATAGACTTTTTAATTCATCTTATCACTTATTGGCCAGATCAATCTAACGCTGTTACTTCTTCATCTAAAACAACAGCAGTAACTAATAAATCAGAACATCATCCAGTTAGTAAGAATAATAGTAATTTATTGGGTAGTAAATTTACAATTCAATCATTATATCGTAGTTTAAATCGTACTATACTTTATCAATTATCGCGTCCGATTCTTACAAAAGCAGATCAGTTACAAGTAGTTAATTTGTTGAATCGATTAAATGATACTTTAATTCAATGTAATGATAATAATAATGTGACGAGTACAAATCCTATGGAAGCATTGAATTTAAATGTGAATCGTGGTTATATTCCGATTGATCAACTTCGAAATACTACTACACATTGTCAAGATCACATTCCATTGATATTCAATGCGATCAATGAAGATACTGAATTTCCAGGATGTTTAGTTCACTTATTAATTCAACTGATCCGTTTAAATGATGCACGAGATGGAAATGGAAATAATTTAACTGATTCTTCTACTAATACAACATCATCAACATTGAGTCAAGTTTCTTCAATTACGTCAAATATGAAGGTTGACAGTTATCATTCAATGGATAGTAATGCTACTACTAATAATAATAGTAATAATATATCACTTGAATCATCTGTTAATTATTATCATACAACATTTGGATTTGATGAATTGGAGAATAATATTGACGATACAACATCATCTTTATCAACTATAACATCAGAAACCGAGAACAATACAGTAATTGCTGTTACAAAACCACAATTACCATCATTATCCACAGCAGCATCAATAAACAATGAGGAATTAACTAATGCTAGTACAAGTATTACTTTGAATGATTCAAAATCTTCAGCTGATACTGGTAAAGAAGAGTCAAATCAAATCACTTCTAATTATGCTAGAGAAATTGTTCTAGCTGCTTTAAAACTTTGGTCTGAATGTTATTTAGCTAAAAAATCAGTAAGCTCAATCAATTCTGTATAGATATATTTTACTTTGAATATGATTATATACTTGGTTTTGATTTGATTTATTGTTGTTGCTGTTGACATTTTGATATATTTGTTACGCTCGTCTCTATGTATGCTTAAACTATTACGAGTTCACTTTAGTCGAATAACCATAACAAAACAATGAACCAGCGTCCAGGTAGGCTACTGTGATCCCTTGACCATATTGAATCAGCAAGAAGTTTTGATATTGTGCAGAAATTGTATTCTACAACACCCAGCCAGCACACAATGAATCCAAGCACTCAAATTTCGTTTGTTTATACCCTATAGAGACATCCTTGGTACAGTCACAAAAATAGCACACTAAAATGACACAGTAACCAATCACAGCCAAGGATTTTCCTGGTGGGAAATGTAATCTCAAGGTCAACTGATCGGTCCATGAAATAAATCCAAAATAAAGATATTTATCAAGCGAGTTCTGGGGATCTAACATCCCCAACAATATTTTTTTTTTAAAAAAATGATCACAGTTAAAGTTGATTATAAAAATGTGGTAAAGTTTTGTTGCGAAGTTTGCCAATTATTCATCACTTAACACGTTTATATGATCAAGATGTCAAATTGAAATGATTAAGGATTTTGAAAATTAATATTTGTTAGTGTTTCGACTGTTTTTTATTTGCCGTAACGCACTACAATTTTGACTTCATCAAAGCTTGGTCATAATCTAATGAACAATTGACTGTTACGTAATAAGAATGCGAATACTATTTGAATTAGCAATAAATTGATCCTACTGGATAAAGTAGGATTCGGTAACTGTTTTTTCAGAAATAATTAAGTGTTAGGCTATTCACAATTTTCTATGGAGTGATTGAAGTCCGGAACACACATTTCAGTTTACTTGGGTTTGTTCAGATCGATCCTGGTTTTATGGTTTACACTGGCACTTGAATCTGGTGCTGATTGTTTCAAATGACAGAACATGAGCCCTTAGACAACTATGACATATTAATTGCCAACTTTCTCGATGGGCATGGTATCATCAATTGATTTGCATGATCTCAAATTGTACAAACACTCTCCTTTTGGATAGCTTGAAAAACTTTCCCTGTAGTATCAACAACAGGGAAATACAATCGATAATATGATCACCACAATGTGTAAATGTTCAAAGTGGTGTTAGTGAGTAATATACTTTCATAAAATCAAGGATAGAAATCTGAATTTTCTTCTGGGTTATATGAATTCGGTCAGTTGATCTTTTTTAAGTAATGGTTATCAAAGTAAAATGATTTTCAATTCTTTTTTATTTTAAGAAAAACTGATAAACTTAAGTTGATTGTCACAATATTCAATGAATTTTTTTATACATCCACTATGTTAGGTCAAAGCATATGATCAAAGATTTATGTATGCCTACTTTTAAATACAGTAAGTATCATTGAATGAGATAAATATACGTGCGGAAAGGCATAAGTTGTTCGTTAAAGAAAGTTCACATTTTGGTCAGATTCTAACTCCATAGACTTAGAAATGGTCTACTCATGATTGTAAAGTCTTGTTTACTAGTTTAACAGCAGTTTAAATCTTTTAGTTCATTTGATTTTGATCAGCACCATTTGGATAATTTAATGATTGTTTGTTCTAATCTAATTTATAACTCAAACTTTTGAAAATTTGTATTTATTCTATTTTTAAGCAATAAATGATTCAGTACAATAAATGTACGTAGTTTGTTCACTATATGGTCGTTTACATTCACGTTTATTTCGTTAATATTTATTAAATTATCATCCAAGTGTAGTTTTTTATTGTTTTATAATGATGTTTACTGTTGATTTCATGTTATCAACTCATTAAAAGTATTTATTATCAATGATCTATCATCTGTGCTATACAATCTTCAGTTAATCATTTAATTTGAATAAATTGTGTAATATATGAATTTATTATTAAAAAGATGTTGAGGTTGTTTTATGATTCAATGAGTTATAGCTTTATTATAAACGACCACTTTAAAATTAATTGTGAACTTGAAAATGTTTAATAACTTGTTGTTTTAGGTGCAATAAATCTCCATTTTTCCGTTTGTTTTCACAGGTACTTGCACAACTTGTCCCAGAAGCACCACTAGTTAGTGGTTTATCGGTACCTTCCCTCAATGATTGGACCACAATCCTTGAAGGTCCATGTTTAATCGCCTGGGCACAACATGTTGATTGCGAAGCTGCAGGCTTAGGTGGTATTTCACCTGGTAATTTATGGGGTCGTATTCCTGGTACTCCATTATACGTTTTAAACATGATTAAACAAGAAAATTGTCCAACTACACCAACTGTAACAACAACTACTGGATCTGCTCCAACGTCATCAGGATTACAACATCAAATTTCAATGAAATTGAGTAAAGTTTCAGGAAATGTATTCAAACTAGGCTCTAGCTCTAATTCAGGCATTCCATCCAACCAAACTAATGTCAACGAACAAACAGCTGCATTCAGTACAAACGCAAATGCATCGCTTGTCACTAATAATGTACAAATTAACTATTTAAATCCATCTAGTAGTACTGGCTTTCAAATTATTCAAGAAAATGCTATAGAGGTAATCATTTTGTCTATTGTTTGTAATATTGATTTAGAAACATCATCAAAGTTTAATACATTTTTTTTCTTGTTTGAGTAATAAAAGTTTTTGAAGTTTACATTAGAACGATCAGCTTATTGTGTTCAAGAAAAGTCTGACATTAACCCTTTATTCAGGAGTATAGTTATTTATTGAACAAACAAATTAACTTTAGTATATATATATATATATATATATATTATATAACCTACATAAAGCCTACGTTAGCCTAGTTTGTCAGAGGACGGTAGTATGTTAGAAGAGGAGGAGTTGAAATAATTGTAGTCGCTTATTGTCAGCCATTCCACTTAATTTCTCCAGATTTATCCTAGTACAACATTTAATATTTAGAGAGAGAGAGAAATAAACACTTCACAAAAATTTACTGCTATCTAGGGGATTCATAAGACTGCATATTTTCAACATCATCAAATTTCATTGTACCATCGGTTTATTTTATTCAGTAATTGAATGTCCTTATATGGAAATTCATAAAAGGAGTTACCTGAAGAAAGAGTTGTCTTCACAAAATGTCTATAATGAACTTAAATAAAAAGGGGGTGCTAGAAAAACGTCAAGAACAGCACTTGAGGTTGATAATTTTGATGACAGCTCTCCGTAGGCTCTGATATGATCGATAGTTTTCGAATAGAGGGTTTTCAATAGGTTTTTATTCTATTTTGGTATTTCTTCTAATGACGAACACTAACACAAAACCTCAGTCACCAGAGTAGAATTCCACTTTAAGATCGAGAAACGCCACTATAGTCGGGCGTGGGTAAGTATATCTATGCTCTAAAATTTGACGAAAAGTGAGTATTTGTTAAATGCATCTACGTGCAGGTCTGGAACAAGCTGTAAGTGTTAATTTTTCTCAACAGCATCTATCTATTTATAAATAAATTTCAAAGTCAGCAAATCAGAAAGAAAGCTGGTTGTTTAAATGTTAACGATTTTAATCTCAATTAATTATGGATTGACAGTTTTTCTAGATCATTGGTTTGAAATGAATAGGTATTTTCTTTCATCTCTAATTCTCTCATTTTTATTATCAAGTTAGTTAATAACTGACACTAGTTTAGTATGTAAGATATCATTGTTAACTGTTGATTTGTTTTTTTTCTTGTGGATCAGATAATCATTTCTCGAAAATCCTATATATTTTGTTACAGGCTATACAATCATGGGCTCCAAACCAACTAAACTTCATTCACGAATTACTTGATCAACAAAAAACACAATTTTATCAAGTAAGTTCTAGAATTCTAGAATTCCAGGTTATTTCGTGTGATTCGTGATTTTCTGTTTAAGTGTACATCTTACTGATTTTAACTGACACTTATTTTCTTTCTGCAGTTTTTTAAAGTAGTTTCCGTCAATTTTACTTGAAAACAAGTGCTGAAATGTTGAGTTGTTTCTCATGATTTTATACTAATTGACAATAATAATAATATTGATAATAATAATAATACTAATAACAATAATAATAGGTATTATTATTGTGGCTTTATTCGACATCATATGTTTAGTACAAAATGGAATTCTGAGCACAGAATATTTCAAAAAGTTTCCTTTACAAAACAATTAACGATCAGCGGTTGGAAGTAAGCAGTACAGTAATCGACATTTCATTAATGTTCTTTCCTTTTTCAGCAGCTTGCCTGCCACCACAATATCTCTGATTGTACTTTTCCGAAGCTTGTGAAACGATTGTTTGCAAACTTTATACACTGGCCTGAATAGATTATGTGATTATTAGATATGATTAACGTGTTAAAACAAACAAAAGGAAATAACTTGTTGAAATATTTTGATATCAGAAAACTGGTAGTCCAGAAATTCAAACGGACCACTAACTGAATCATCATTGAAAGACAGAAATCACTGGAAGCATAATTGTTTTGTTTTTTTGTAGTTTGAGACTCCCCAAACACCTTACAATAATAAATCCATACAGAATCAAACCCAAGGCAACAATTTTTTAGTGGCGTGAATGATACGATTGAGCGTTTAAAAAATTTTCTATTCAAGGCCATGAATAAAATGTTAATCGTCTTATACGCGATAGTTATGAGGACCAATTATTAAGCAAGAAATTCAAACAATTATTTTTATTTTGCACGACTTTTTCCAACTATTAGTTAGCATGAATAAGTACGGACTATATCAGTTTGGAGATAATTTTTTGTAAGTTTCACTATCCGTTGTAGTGTATACCACATACGAAATTTAGTTGGCCAAATGTTTAAAACTATTTAACACTTGACGTCTGGTTCATTCTAGTACTGGATCACACAGACGTACGACTCTGCTAAGGTTTGGATTCGAAACTTTCTGGTTTTCACTGATTATCTGATTAAAATCAGTCAGTGAAATAAACTACAAATCTATCTATCTGCACAATTTTACTGCATTTTACCAATTCATTTTACCCACTGAATTCAATGTCACTACTGAAAGTTTGATTTTACCTTTATATTTATCATATCGTATACTATCAGTGATTTATTTTGCTTTTAGAATTTATCATTTAATCAGCGTCATCTTGAAAGTGAATGGGAGAAAATTGAAAATGAACTCACAAGAGAACGTGGTCTATGGGGCAGAATTACACCGGATCCTTTGGCCAAATGGGAACTTGATCCAACTGAAGGTCCCTTAAGAATGAGAAAGCGTATGATTTTGAATAAATCATTCAATCTACGTTATCCTTACATGCCAAGCTATTTAACACGTTTGTTAATTCGTTCTCCGAATGCTGATGTGAGTAATATTTACTTTATGATAAGTGATTAGTTTTGTATAATTTTCGTGCATTTATCACTTGTTTTATGACGAATGAAATAGCCAACACAAACGCTTGAGCCACCTTTCTTCTAACTGTCCAAATATTGCAGTCACATTTGTTGCTTTATATTTTGTTTAACTGGATAATTAAGGTTGACAAACCTGTTGGCTCACATTTTTGTAAAAGAAGTTTTCAACTTGTTGCAGTGCTAAATATTCGAAAACTCTAAACGGAATCACCACAGCTGGTAACGTACTTTCTTTTCGGTTTATTCTCTAAACAAATGAAGAAGCGACTAGTTTGTCGATTATGTATCATATCCGTTGCAACTGGAATGGTGGAAAGATTTCATTATTAAATTTGACTGTTAAAAGCATTTACTAAGTTTATTTTTAAATAATTACAATTCAAAGGTACATTAAGGACACACTTGCTGCGATTTTATGTAATCGGTACTAGGAATTACTTTCCCCTGTTAACAGTTTTTTATGGAGGCATTTAGTTATGCATTAAGGTTGCTGACCTCTAGAGAAGCTTGCAGTGGACCTGTAAACGAACTTAATCAAGATGTGACAAATGCTAGGCGATTAATAGTTTTCCGATATCGATACTAGTATACTACACCAAAATGGTTATAGACTGATGAAAGTTAACGGTAGAAAAATAACACTCCAATAAAATACTAACAACCATCATGTAAGAAATGTTACTTGTAAGTTCCTTCTGGGATAATTACCACAAATAGAGTTCACTAAGTTAACAAATGTTTTTCTGAATGGCAGGAGCCAACGGCGTGTACGGGAAATATACATCCGACAGTGTAATTGAATAAAATTCCAAGCCAATAGTCCCATATTCTTAAAGGAATATTGTATGTGTTAAAATCACAGGCCATGGTCAATAAAACAGAACATTGAATGGCATTAGCAGAGCTTATTCGAATAGCTAAATTGCTTCCAGACCATAGCTGCTATGTTGACACGGTGATCGGGTTTGCGTATAATCATCAACCAACCGAGCTGGAACATATGTTCCTGTAGGTTCTGCTATGCCATGCAGGTCAATTGGAAAACGGTAAGACTAAAAGCAGCTACTCATGGTCTGAGGGCAAAGTCGTACTGCTGACTGTCGGGGGGTGTTACGGCAGTAGGGTGTTTCCTTCCGATAACCCAAATACGTATGGATGTTACCTCGATTTTTCAACATAAAGATCCGTCTCGAAAAAGAATGGACACATTATTCATTCTCAATCCAGGAGTTTGTGTCGAGCGGTAGAACACTTTAGGAAGCAGTTCAACTGGCCTTTAGCAACACATCAGTTACCTACGATTTCCTGTCAACCTAAACGGCAAGTCGATGCATGTCTTCCAACTCCTAATGAAGTTGAGAAGGCTGTAGGCAATCTAAGATGAGAAAGAAAAGCAGATTCTGATGGAATAACCCCTGAGACTTCAAATGATAGTGATCCAGTTTTATCAGTGAGATTGATTAAGATTGTAGGTATAATCTGGAAGGTGAATATAAACCCATCTGATTGATCACAATCACTGTTTGTTCCAATGTGTTATAAGAGACAAAAGTCCTTTTGTGACAATCATAGATGAACCAGTTTAACTAATATACTGTCTAAGTTATTAGCTTGAACAACACTTTAACGCCTAACTAGGGCTCATGAAGAACAGATTCGATAAAACAATGGTGATTTCAGACCCGGACGTGCATGTTTAGATGTCAAGTCGTAGAACATAGGCACACATTCATACGTCCCACAGTAGTTTTATTCCTCGACTTTAAGGCAACGTCTGACATTGTCAGTCGTGAGTGTCTGTAGCATTGTCTATCAATGAAAGGAGTATGGAAGAAGTACACCAACTTTATTCAGGTCCTCTCCTGGAAAACTGCTATTCGAGAAAGAGCTTATGACGAACTGTCATTGGAACTGACTACTTCAAGTAGTGTTTGCTGACAAAATGAAGAGTGGTTTTATCCTAATCCACTTAATATGTATTACTGTTTCAGTCAAGTGGACAGCTATCAAGTTTTTAATGACCCCATAATAAACCTTTTCGTGACCACATTGAATATTATTCAAACCGTTAGTCTGTTTGTGACTAGCGTAGTTTTAGTTAGACAGCATAATATAACCAAATCATTAATATACCTAACTGATCATACACACATCTTATTGTTCATGAACAAGAGAAAAATTAATTCTAGTGTTTGTTGGGGACTGTTAGTTATTCATTACTAAGCATATATATATATATATATATATATATATATACAATATAGGTCAACTAAAAGTAACGAAAACTATGAACCACATTATTCTTGATAATAAATCAATATCAATATAGTAGATGAAGTGTAAGTTAAAATTGTTTGTGAAAACACTTCTGCGACAGGTATTCAAATTGTCGTATGGGTGACTATTGACTCTATATAACTTTCAAAACGAAACACTAGTTTCTTGAATGGTATTAAAACAACTATGGTTTAAATTCATACCTGTTTCACATTAATGTACGATTTTTTGCCTCTCACCGCAATAAGAACAATAATCTTAAAAGTGAAGTAATGGCTTTATAAAGATGAATATGAAAGCTATTAATTAGACTTATGCCAAACAGCGCTGTTCCTCTTGCTCTGCCCTGCTGACGTTTGTTAGTGATAAATGTTGGTAACACATTCTTACTTTTCATATCTTCTGAAGTCTTATCTTAACTTCACTCATTTTTGTCTTATAGTAAATCTTTTTGCTGTTGCCATTATTACATGATTTAGAGTATTAATCATTTCTTTTAGAATTTTCGTATTATTCTTATCACATAAATTTTATACCATTTGTGAACACCTTGCTTATGACTTTTATTGATTTTTATCGATGAGTGCATTTCTGATATTTTAATACAAAGTACTATTATATTTAGGCCAGATGCACATGATGCGTAACCATGAAAATAATAGGAGCTAATGTTGTTCTTCGTCTATTGAACTCTTACTTTCCATAAAAAGTAATGAATGTCATAAGTTAGTGATTTCTTTATACTGGTTGGAACGCATTAATGAATATAAAAGAATGTTTCTAGTATTAGAAAGAGAAATATTCAAGTTAGAGTTATCACTTTCAGCTGATTATAATCATTATCTGTTATAGTATAATATCGTACAATAATGCCTTAAGTAGTTGGATTTATGAGACATTTTTTTTTGACTTGTTACTGATGATAGTTTAACGTTTTTTTTTTACAATCATACACTCCTAACCTTTACTATATAGACATATAAAATCACTGTTCAGTTATGTTTTTCCACCTAGAAAATTGTTGTTTTGTTCTTTCTTACAGAACTACTATCCGAGTACATCAACATTAACCAAAACTAGAAAACCTCGTAGTCGTGACAGTAAACTTTATTTTCTCAATTACAAGTCACAAAGTTTGCTTCATGAAGACTACGGTCCTTTAACACCATGGTTAGCACTTACCAAATCTTCCAAACTGGAAGAAATTATTAAAATTTTAGAAAAGGCAGACAACGATTCAACCAGTCAGGCAATACAGACTAATGAATCATGTTTTGACAGTTCCGTTTCAAGTGATATTGATCAACAACGAAATGATAACGATGATTGTTGTAAAACAATAATGTCAGATTCTGAATTTACTGAACTAAGTCAATCGTTGGATCCAGAAAGTTTGGAATGTAAGTTACATATATTACAATTTACTTAATATGTAGTAAATAGCTGTTTTCAGTCATATTTGAATTTTCTCGATATGTAATATACAGATTATTATTATTATTATTATTATTAATTATTATTATTATTAGTAGTAGTATTGGCATCAAAGTGTAATTCGACCGTTTTATATACCTATTTATTTCTTATCGCTTCCTCTGTCTCCTTCTCCTCCTCCTCCTCTTTTTTTCAGTGTCATTACGAAAGACAGCTTCAATAATTCGTTCTACACGTAATTCTGTATGCATTGATCAACATCAGCGTAGAAATGATGATCTTGATGAATTAGTGACTAATTCATCACAGTCAGTTGTTGAAGAACCGGATGAATTCGATTCATATTGCAATATTATGGAGGATGTGGATTCACCATCACCATCATCTCGACAACCGGTAGATCAATCGGATGATATCCATGCTTCTTATCCTACTACTACTACTAAACATCAACAACAATTACACTTGATGAAAGATAATTTAAATATCAATGTAAATAATAATAACATTAATACTACTACTGCTACTGCTACTTCTACTACTACCACTACTACTACTACTAATATTAATACTCATCAAAATCTAATCAAAGATATACCAAATCCTATGAATAATTTCATTGATACAAATGAAGATAAATTAGCTGGTCATGAAGCTATTTTACGTCTATTAGAACCGGGTGAACGATTGCATGTAATGTATCGTTGTGCACGTATATTAGGTTTGGATATTTTTGAAGGTTTATTATTATTTGGCAAAGCTCATTTCTATGTTATCGATGGTTATACATTGATCAATACACGTGAAATAGTTGCCATCGATTCATTGCCATCACATATTATACATGAACCAATTGTACCATGTGCTTTAATTGCTGCAACCACAAAAAATAATAATAATAATAATAATCACAATAATAATAATAATAATACACTAACTCGATCATCTATTGTACATGTGAATAAGAATTCAACAGATTTATGGAGTTCTGGAGCGGTTAGTCAAATAGCTGGAAAACAGTAAGTTTCAATTTTGTTTCTTTTATCTTTTTGTTTTACTCAATGGAAGTTAGTTTCTTTTTGTATGATTTCAATAGATTTGATGATTTAGTTTCAGTTGGTATACCTATATCAGAGTATGGCTTATGTATTTTTTTTGATACTCATTAAAAGTGGAACATCTAATATTTTCGAGCATTTGTTCATCCATTTAAAGAGTGAATGTTACATTCAAGAGAATATTTCAGCCATCTAAAAAGCTATTTACATGTGTTTTCTGTGCACGCACCTTTGTATAACCTATCTCAACTTGCTGAATGAGAAGGTAAGTAAAGTGAAAAATTAGAATTTAAAATGAAGCCGTTAACGATAATTGTGCTCTTTCATGCTGTACTCATTCACTAAATGAACAAATAAAAATGTCTAAAAGTTTTTGATGCCGCACACTAATTGAATATTAGAAAGTTTCATTTCATTAGATCTTTGCTTGCTGGCATCACTTCTTATGTTTGAAAATGCACTATTCTGATTATCATGAGTTAAGCGAATTCATGTGGTAATTAAGAAAACCAATCAGTTGGTTAATTAATATTCGATGATTAGAATGTGTTAAGTAGTTCAAATAAATGATTGCATCACTGTTTTCTTGAACAAGTGCTTTGTGGTGAATATGATTACATTCTAGATGCGTGATTCAATTTTTTATTTTATTGGATTCATTAGTGTGTTGTTAACTAGGAGTTATTGTTCTGATCATGTTTATGACCAATTATCAGCGTGAAGTGAACAACAATGCATATTGGCATTTGCTTATTTCTTTTACAAAATTATGTAACCTGATTAAGTGGATCTGTTCACCGCATTACATTCATTAAAATTTAGTCTGCACATATACATTTTTCAGCAATCCAGAATATAGATTTCGTAGTGTGAAAGAAATATCCTCACTAATGTTTTCAAACTTTGACTAGTATGCAGTTTATGTTTATTCAGAGTTATAAATCAAACAGAGTTGATATCAGTAATCGTAATGTAGGGTGAGAAAATAATCAATACCTATATTCGATCAGCGATTATTATTGAACGTAAAGTGATATGAATTGAGTAGGAGACAGCAAAAAATGAAATGAATGCCAAGTACATTATTCAAATATGGAAGAAAAATAATAAAAAAAAATTCAGTTTGACAAAGTGATGAAAGCAGGCATTAATCATCCTGTCGGATCACCTCATAATTGATCTCTTTTTTGCTTTATTAACTAAACAGGTTGACTCTAGTTTTATTTCGGTGAAGGGTTCCTGTTTTATCCCCAAAAACTTGTATGACTAGTTTTTTTCCGTTTGGCGGACTGGAAGTATATTCTCTGTAGGCAGCTCACTATGGAGGTGGATTATTAGGAATGACTGATGTTTTTCTTTATGGCCTGTTTGGATCAGGTATACTGGGATCGAATTGTTTACAACCATTTATGCTCTAGAAAGAGTTCAAGATGTCGATTAGATTGTTTGCTATAACATTGGCCTACATAACGTTTTACACTGAAACAGTTTAGTGGATAAACACGCAAAGATGGGGCTGGTTCAAGCAATTTTTTCCTCAGACTCAGCGTCGGAAATGCATAAACCTTGGTCTTAGTTTGCGTACATTGAAAACCAATCGACTGTTCTGTTTTATCTGTAAGCTAGCACTCCGCTCTTTTCACCACATTTAAACTTTTGGTATGTAAATAATGATTTTCTATTCACAATTAACTTTGTTGTGTCCCTAGTTTGCTGATCAATCTAGTTATTAGATTTATAGAGAAGCTGTCACGAAGCTAGTTAACGTATTCGATGGGTTAGCTTACTAAGTATAACCTTGAAACTCAGCCTTACAGAGAAAAACCTCGGGGTAGGATAATATATGGCAATAAGTCACATATGAAACAAAAGTGTATGAGTAAATCATGTAAATTAAATATTCGTAGTTACAGATTGAAAATTAAAACTCACAATGTTAAAAATGTAGCTTTTATAATTTGTTATTTGTCCTTTTTTTCATTGAATCGTTTACTAGTTATATTACTGATTTTTTTCAGGGGACTCGATTTCCTCCGTTATTAGTGCATTCAAACAAGTTTTCTTTGATCATGGGTTGGATTGGTCATTGAACAAAAATAATTGCAGCAAAATGATAGACATATATTCATCCACCCTCTGAATTAAGAATATCATTTTATATCTGTGAAAAGTTTTTTTCTGCCATACTTCGTGTTTAGGTTTGCAACTTAAATTTAAAATGTAGGATGATTGTAAAACGTTTTCCTACTCAATGGCTGACAATCAATCTTTTGACTTTCCATTTGTATGTGGTAAAAATTCCTAATTATGAAATTGAATTACCATCAAATCTTGGTTTAACAAACTCTAATATCCTTTTCATCTTGGTAAAAGAAGCTCTTGATTGTGTGCATAATTTTTTCTGAATGTTATTTTCAAATCAATAAATTTATTAACCTGTATTATCAATCAATTAGCGCAGTGACACTTACCTACTTTCTAACAATTATAAAACATTGAACTTATTTTAAACCTAAAAACTGTCAATTTTTTTTAGGCTTCAAAAATCCATTATGTTTGCACATGTGTAAATGCGATTCTTACTGTTTTTGTTTTGAAACTAAAGATATTTCAAATTCCCGTACGAAAATATTCAAGAAGTACACAAGCGCCGTTATTTACTTCATCCAATTGCATTAGAGGTATTCAATTCAGATGGACGTAATTTCTTACTTGCATTTAGTAAAGGTTTACAAAATAAAGTTTATGAATGGTAAGTGAATATTTGTATACATCTATTTCAGTGTTTATATAATAAGGTTCATGTAGTATTTAGATAATACACTTCAAGAACTAATCAGCTAGGTAACTGGAAAAAACCTCAATGGATTAGCATGTTGTACCAAAATCAGTATCATTCATTTACCAACATTGAACTTTATCCGCTTAACTCATCTACTTTGATCATCTCTACACTTACACCAACAAACATCACATATCAAAGTAAGTGCTAGTTGAGCGTACGCAATACGTGTTTCAGCCGTCATAGTTGTTAAAGGTGCATAACCACCTCATCAACCGATTTGATTTATTTCCCTAGTAATTTGTGTTTAACATTCATATTACTTAGTCTTTCACTAATCGAATTCAGTAGTCAACACATAGTTTTATGATTGATTAGTTATAGTTCAACAGTAATTTTCACCATAGTCTTAAATGAAACACTGAATTCATTCAGTAGTTAATGCTTATTAACTACTGAGATTATAAAAATATTGATAAATTAGATATGTTTTTCTAATAGTTAAAAGATAAATTTATTTTTATCGGTTAAAGTATGTGGTTGTGCATTTGATTTATTTGTTTTTGTAATGATTATTTACTAACTTTTTGCATGACTATTTGTTAAATTTAAAACTGTTTCTGGAACAATCAATGAGACTGAGATATTCAGACTGCTATAAAAAATTCCCACTTCTTCATTTCTGTATCATCTGACTGGTTGATTTATGGATGTTTATATATATATCTTCAGTATACTTAATCACTGTATTTACCTCTCAGCAGCAAGTAACGCTTTACATGGTAAAAATTTTTATCCATTTTAATTTTTTACGGTTGTTGTGGCTGTTTTATTACCAGGAGTAGGAGTAGGTTGGAAGAAAGCTAGGGGCGGCCAAATCAAAACATGGCACAAATCTATGAAGTCACTGACAACTAGATTGAGTCATGTTGGTAGATGTAGGTTACCTGGATGGGGTCCGCGAGACGATAGTAATCGATGGTTAGAGACCCTGAATGACATGGCTCAGAACTGTTTGCAATGGCGCAGGTGCATTTATTCTTCGAGTTCTCTCCAATCGTAATCTCCTGAATTCCTCATGACCGTTTTTTCTCCTGTTTTAGCTGATTCCTTTGAGGTATACATCTCAAATGATATATTCGATCAATAGTGTTTATGATTACTACTAACACTGCTACTACTATGGGATTGGCATAGTCAATTGCGTCTCTGTGTTAATGTGGTATGGCAACTTGAACTGTTGTACGTACGTTCTACGTTGACGCTATTTTCGATGTTTTCTAATCTTATTCTATCAGAATACAATTGTATGGCATCGAGTTTCACTAGAAATAATAAGCACTTTGTAAGATGGAAATTATATTTAATGAACAAGTCTCGATTAAGTCTAAACATTCTCGTTTGATTGTGTTGTTCATGATTACTGAGCAATTTAAATGAATATTACTGTTTTGGTCATACGTTTTCATTGAGGATTGTTTTTGAATTTTAGATAAATATATCAATAATTAATCCTAATTTACTCTCTCTTCATAGCTTCCAAAATGTAGCATCTGCGAATTCGGATTTCAATCAACAGAAAAGGTAATTTGATGATTGTTTCGTTATACTGTTTTTGTAAAAACCAATTAGAAGTACTTCTTGTTGATGATAAACTTCTTGATAAAATGTAACTATTAGTGATTCCTACTATTTTTAAACTTGCTTAGACATCTGTAATGTACGTTGATTCGACTGTTTTACAGTCAAATGGTTTAAAAAGTTTAACTCCCACTCTTTTTCGCCTTTATACTTGGTTAGAAAGTAAGAAACCTATTGTTGGATGTTTTAGTTACTCTAGGGGTCTGAATAAATTCAACGAAGCTATTGTCTTATCCTGGATATAATTTCAAAATACTTCCAAATTTACAAGCGTATTGCTTTAAGTTGTTTGAAGGTGTGTAGTTCATGAATTCATTTTACGAAGGGATTCGTCACAAGGTAAGGAGGCAGTTGCTTACTTACTTACTTATACCTTTTACCCCCAATGGAGCATAGACCGCCGACCAGTATTCCTCAACCTGCTCTATCCTGGGCTTATCCTTCCAGTTCCGTCTAATTTTGGTGCATTCTTCTTATGTTTGTTTTCATTTTTCGGCGTATTCTGTTCGTTGGCCTTCCTCTTTTCATCTGATCTTGAGGATTCTGAATGAGGGCTTGTTTTGTGACGCTGTTAGGTGCTCTCCTCATTATGTGTCCTATCCACTTCTAGTTCTTCTTCCTGATAAGTAAGTACTTAATAATAAATACTTGTATCTTCTGGATGATGTATTTGGTAGTTTTCCAAGTTTCTGCCCCATACAGTAGAGTTGTCTTGACATTTGTATTGAAAATTGTAACTTTGGTGTTGGTTGTTAGACAGTTGTTTTGATTTCCAGATGATGTTTAATTGTAGAAATATATGCCTTGTTTTGCCGATCCGTGCCTTCGAATCCGCATCAGATCCACCTTGTTCGTCGATGATGCTGCCCAGATATGTAAATGCCTTTATCTCCTCCAAGGCATCCCCATCAAGAGGGAATTGGTCGGTACATGTTGTATTGTATCAGAGAATCTTGCTTTTCCATTTATGTATTTTGAGACCTGCTGCTGCTACACTGGTCTCTTGCATTTGATGTTGCGTGTCAGATAGAAGAGCCACACCATCTGCGAAGTTCAGATCGTTCAGCTGCGTCCTAGTTGTCCATTGTATCCCGTTCTTCTCTCCAGATGTTGACGTCTTCATAATCCAGTCGATCAGCAGGAGAAAGAGAAAGGGTGAGAGTAAGCAACCTTGCCTGACACCGGTCTTCATCTCGAACGAGTCTGTCAGCAGTCGCTGTGCATGATTTTGCAGTTTAATCCATCATAAGAATTCCGTATGATGATGATTGTCTTCTCAGGCCCACCGTAGTGTCGAAGAAGCCTTCATAGTGTTGTCCTGTCCACTCTATCAAGTGCTTTCTCGTAGTCGATGAAGTTGATGTAGAGTTGTGAGTTCCATTCAGTTGATTGTTCCACAATGATCTGTAATTTCTTAGCTAGGGCGATACACGATCAATCCTTACGGAATCCAGCCTGTTGATCTCGAAGTTGGGCATCTGCGGTGTCCTTCATTCTGTTTAACAATACTCTGTTGAAGACTTAGCCTGGTATTGAGAGAAGAGTGATACGTCTGTAGTTCTCACACTTGCTGAGATCACCTTTCTTTGGTATTTTGATTAGGTATCCTTCTGGTCCTGCTGCCTTGCCGCTCTTGATTTTATTTCATGGTTACGCTAATCTCTTAAATTGTTAATGTGCCAACATCGATTAGGAGGTTTGTGGGTGCTGCTTCGATTTCGGGTGTTTCGTATGGGTATGTTGATTCAAGAGTTCCTTAAAGTACTCTACCCATCTGTTTTGCTGCTCATTGATGTTGCTGATTACTTTGCCTTCCCTGCTTTTCACTGGTCGTTCTGGTTTACGATAGTCTCCATCGAGCTTCTTTGTTGTATCATACAATTGTCTCAAGTTTCCTTGTCTTGCAGTGCTTTGCTCCGTCATTGCTAGATCTTCCATATATTTCCGTTTGTGAGTCCTGATGCTCCTCTTCGCTTACTAGTTTGCTTCAGTGTATTCCACTTGTGCCTTAGATTTTTCTGCTCTTGTGTAGCTGCCTTCATGTTCTTGCATTCTTGAATTTTACTAAGAGTACCAGCGGAGATCCATTCCTTGTGATTGTACTTCTTGTTGTACAGAACCTCGTGACATGTTGAAGTGACTACCTCCTTGCTCCCCTTTCAATCATTCTCCATGGTAGTTTGCATTCCATTGAGTAGATCGTGCCAAGCTTGGAACCTACTGTTGAGGGCTAGCTTAATTTCGTTAAGTATGTCAGTATCCTAAAGAAAGGCCATATTAAACTTTTGTGATATCCGCTTCGTTGTCTAGTGTTTCTTGAGTTTGTTAATTCTGTTAGTTTCGCCTATCAGTATGAAACTTTAAAATTGTATCAATATCAATAGTTGCATAGTCACTCCATCTGTAACAGAAATTGTTTTTAGGGAGGACTTTTTGAGTGAGATCATTTATAAAGGGATCGCAGTTGTATTATAATTGTAAATTTAATTAAAAAGATAATCTGTCTTAACTTATTTGTATTGTTATCATAATTTTATTTAGCTCTCAAGGTTTTTTCAGCAGTTTACTTGGTGTAAAATCAGTAGTTCAACGATGGGAAGTAAGTTTGTTATGCGCTAACAATTTTTCTGTACGTAATTTTTTTCTTTATATTTTTATTAGATAAGAAAATGTGTTAGACCATAGAAATATGAATTAAGAATATTTTTTTGAATAAATTCTTCCCTACTTCTACAGTTAGTTATACAACCAAACCAATGATCTGAAAATACATTGAACTGACTACTATGCAATATGTTGTTTTGAGACTAATAAACAGAATAAATATAAATAATTGTGGTTACACATTAGATCAGATGAATGTTTGTAAATGAAGTTATATTTAAAATAATATGACTTAATTGAGAAATAGTGAAGAAGGGTGAGTGCTAATTAGATTATTAATAATAATAACAGTGGGGATAGTATGTTAGATAAATCCAAATTGTGAACATACCAAAGGGAATATCGGGTAGTTTCAAATTAAGAATCGTTCAGCTACGTCTGAGCTATCCACTGTGTTCTCTGCTTCCCCTGAGATGTTGACGTTTCCATAATCCAGTCAACTACCTACCAGAAGAAAGGGTAAGAGTAAGCAACCTTGTCTGATACCGGCCTTTACTTAGAATAAATCTGTGAGCTACCCTCTTTGCACGATTTTCCAGTGTTAGTCCATTGTAAGAATTCCGTATGATGTTGACTATCTCATGTAGTGTCAAAGAAGCCTTCATAGTGTTCTCCAGTTCACACTGTCAAATTATTTCTCACAGTCACGGAAGTTGATGTATAGGATTATCCTGTGTGCCGTAGTCATAACAGTTTGTACGTGCTGCTTCGACTACGTCATATTCCCTTTTTTGCTTAATGCACTTATAATCTGGACTTGTATTAATATAGAAAGTATTGTTATAAATATTTTTCACTGGTCAACTGAATGATTTGATACATGTTATACCTATAATTGTATTTGTGATACAGTTTATTTATTCATGTAAACCTATGAATATGTAGAAGAATGCGTGAAATGAATTTTACTGCATCTCACAATTCTGGTTGAGGTTTGATTTCTGCAACATGGGTACTATATCACTTAAGAAAAAATTTATTGAGTTATTGATCTCAATAATGCACCCTTCATCATGAGTTATCAGAATCTGAAAAAGAAAGTGGAACGATACACGAAAAATGTTGTGCTTATATTTTGTTTCTTCACGAAATCGTTTCATTTAAATTGACTCTAAACAAGAGATGTTTTTTTCGTATGATACAATGAAACTGTAAACGATTAACGTAACATATATGTGCTTACTTTGATTAGAGTGATCATTTCTTATCATTTGCAAACATTTTCTAGCTTGGCGAACTCAGTAATTTCGAATATTTGATGTATTTAAATACACAAGCCGGTCGTTCATATAATGATCTTATCCAGTATCCTATATTTCCATGGGTACTTGCTGATTATGAATCGGATGAATTAGATCTATCAAGACCAGAGACATTTCGTGATTTATCTAAACCAATGGGTGCACAAACACCTGATCGTTTAGCTCAATTTCAGCGTCGTTTTAAAGAATGGGATGATCCTACCGGCGAGACACCACCATATCATTATGGTACACATTATTCATCTGCTATGATTGTTGCATCTTATCTCTTTCGAATGGAGCCATTCGCCCAACACTTCCTCAAGCTACAGGTACATCGTCTTACATTATATCTTTCGTGTATTATTTGTTCGTAGATTAAGTTTTTTTCGCTTATTGTAACTCATTAGTTTGGTTTATCTATGAAAACTAATGTTCAATCGGTAGTTCTGTTTGATAATCGATTAAACTGTAATATGTAAGCACTTTATACTTTAATGATTAGTTGATCAACAGGAATAGGGTTTGGTTTCTGTTTTCCATCAAATTAATCGTAGGAAAGATTGTAAAGATTGTGGATAAAAAAAGTGTTAATGCTCAAAAGATAATTTTCGAAAAAAATCCAATTTATCTAAGTTAGAAATTAATGAGATAGTCACTAATAAACTATGAACTTAGCTGATACATAAGTTTAACTACTCATTTATTTTTATCAGAATAATTCATTTAGACGTCAATCTAAATGTATTCGTAAACTTATATTATGATAAACAGTAGTGTTTATACACGATTCAACTTTACAATTGCCAATTTAGTTCTTTTTGTTATTTAATTCTGTTTTGTTTAAGGGTGGTCATTTTGATTTGCCCGATAGAATGTTTCATAGTGTTCGAGATGCTTGGATTAGTGCAAGCAGACATAATATGGCAGATGTACGTGAATTAATACCAGAATTTTTCTATTTACCTGATTTCCTTGTTAATTCAAATCATTTTGAAATGGGCATGAAACAGAACGGTGTCGAGGTAAATGATGTAGTTCTACCGCCATGGGCTAAGTCGGATCCACGTGAATTCATACGTGTACATCGTGAGGTAAGTATCTACAAATAAACAGGCCTATATTTGAATGCTTACATACATACATTTAAGCTTTATATCAGTATACTTTTTTATCTTTTATCTGTCTCCCTCACTTTGTATTTTAATGATATCTTTGCACAAAATGGTTTACGTATAGTGGTCTAATGAAATTTCACGTGTCCAATGAAAGAAGCTTTTCGAAACCAATCAGTTTATTTTAAATTTACTAGACGATACTTTTGTAGGATTTTCTACTCTGAAAACTATTTACCTAATTAAGCAAGATAAAATAATCATTATCTGCTAATGCGCTTAATACTTCTTCATGCCTGAATGTGTTTCATCGGTGTCTCTGTTGGCGGTACATCATAACTTTGAATTCTAGCGGATGTTGAACAATTAATTTGCATTTATATCCAGGTATAATAATAATCATATTATTTGGTACATGAATTGTTCATCATGGATTTAACTAGCTCAGCATCAGTTTTTTCTTCTCCCTCTTATTCATTATCATCACTTTCTCTATTTTTTAAGCTAATTTTTCACATTTATTATTTCGCATTGAAATTCATTGGCTTAAATATCGTTCCTTGTGTATTTCTTAAAAATTTATCTACTAAAAACATAATCGGGACTGTTAAGTTTCCTTCGGTTTCTTTTGTTTAACAATTGATTGCTTCACTGAACTAGAATTTCATTCGTTTACTGGTTTCTTCTCTTCTCTTTTTTCTGCATTTCTATGTGTTATTTATAATGTGTTTTCCAGGCTTCTTTTCTAATTACTCCGATAGGTGATAACCTTTAGCATCTGTTCACATTTTTGTAAATGAGTACTAATGATATCACTGAACTTCCCTTAATTATAGTCGATTTAGGGGAGTTCTCATTACTGATCTTTGTGAACGCAACTGATAGGTTGCCGGTAAATATGTAAATTTAATTTTAGAAACAATTATTTCATGCCCGAAGTTATTGTGTTTTATTTGTTGGAAGTGAGTATTTCGTCACAAGACTACTTTAGACATGAATTTGTATCAATCAAACATCACTAAAAGTTAAACGAGATGTTGGTGTAATCTTTTAAAAGTATAGATTAAAGATGTTTACCTCTCATGATTATTAGAATTCATTTCATGTTGGCTAGGAACTGACCGGTTACTGAGTGAGTTGATTATAATAGGTATTGAGTTAGATGGAAGCGTTTGAACTTCTCGTTTATATGACCAGTGTCATGCAAGAATTGGTCCTGTGAAATTCTGATGCAACCTAATGTATCATAAGTTTCAAGTCTTAAACTACAGAGTTATGAACATTTTTTTTACCCCAGACACTCACAGTAAGTAGTTTTGTTATCTCAAAGATGAACTGCACTCAGTAGCACTTTATTGATTAGTAACAACACACTTGAGACAAACAGTTTTCGACGTCTGATTGCGGGTATGTTACCATATGAAATCAACTAAGTTAGAACTACAGCATACAATAGTTGGTAAATTAAGTAACCGGTCTTTATTTAATCGCAGTTGAATGTCAATGTGATTAGTGAATACTTTGAAACTTCAGTCATCATCATTATCGTACTAGTAGTATTAGTAGTAATAGTAGCAACTTTTTCAATCAGATCCAAAGTATTTTTTTTACTTTTTATCTAAGATTTCAAAATATACATTGTTATCATCAAGTAAAGTTTATCTCATAAACTAGTTTTAACAAATATTTTACTCATTATAATGTCTTTTAGGCCTTAGAAAGTGAATATGTATCAGCACATTTACATGAGTGGATTGATTTAATTTTCGGTTATAAACAACAAGGTGAACACGCGATTCAAGCAGCTAATGCTTTTCATTATTTATTTTACGAAGGTAATGTCGATATCTATTCTATAGATGATCCATTGAAACGTTCTGCTGTGATTGGCTTCATTAATAATTTTGGTCAAATACCTAAACAATTATTTAAAAAACCACATCCTTGTCGACGTGTGATTATTCCACGTCCATCGACACGTTTTTTTAGTTCAGCGATTGGGTTTAATTCTGGTAGTCAATTAGCATGTGAATTATTCTATCGAAATCTTGATATTTTAAGACCTAGTCTTCAACCTATTAAAGGTTAGTTTTTTCATGTATATATAAATGAATTTTTCTTATATCAGTTAAAAATTTGTTTGTTTTTTCATTTCTTTCTGTGGATTGAATTAATTAATTAATTAGTAGCTTTCAAATTTTTAATATCAAATCATTTTTATGTACATTAACTTTTCTTTTTTGTGCTCATTAAGTTTTATGTTTATGATTCAATTTTGATTGTTTCATGTATGCAGTGTAAAATTAAATCGGCTATTGGTTGCATTATATTCTTTGAGCTAGATGGTTTAACTGCAAAGTTCTCGTTGTTGTTCCAGACGACAGCAACTTTTTTAATTCATGTAAAATTCAACTATTTGATTGACACACAAGCGTTGAATTCGATGAACCTGTCGGTGAATCGTTGTCATCGAAGGTTTTTTTTTCCAACTTCTTTGTCTTTGAATTACTGTTGAGTAATTTGGCCTGATGATTCTTGGTTAAATATTCGGTTGACCGTTTTCGTACATCATGATAAATCCAGTCCAATGTCCGTATGTTGTTTATTGATTGCGGATTGATTTGACTAACATGCTTCCAGTAACCTAGCATTTATTAGATTTCCTAAAATAGCATATAAATAAAACATTTAAACTAATTAATTGGATTATAGAAGGTTGGGTTTAGAATACTGATGTTATGTGTTATTTTATTTCTAACTTATCTTTATTTGCATAATGACTACTGTCTCTGAAATTTTGATGTGTATTTGTAGCTTATTCTACTTGAAGTAGAAGTAAATCATGATATAGAGAACAAAAACCAGGTGTCTTCAGACTAAACCATTGCTGGTGAAAAGGGGTCAAATACCACTGAAACTTCTGTTTCTGTAATGTTAGTTGTATTTTCAAGAAATATACATAGTATTTGTTGAAGTATGTATAGTTAAATCTGTTATTCAACATTTAAATTCAGGTTTCATTGATTAAAAGCTGTTTCTTTGGTGTATATACATGGATTGTCTGCTGATGTTGATTAGTTGAGGAGAGTATAAGCGGAATAATTTGCATTTCATAATTTCGTTGGGCCAAGTATGCTTTTTGATCACATTCCTCTTAGTTCTATTCATATTCTATTTCATAAATTGTAAATCCTACTAGAGCACTTTACTTTTAATCAGTTCTTTTTAGTCCTAATTAACCCTGGAGTGCATAAACCTGTGTTTGTTAGTATATGAATTGCATTGGCATGTTTTAAAATTAACTCACTGTAATTTTGGATCTCCCGACCGTAGCTGCTACCATGACGTGATGGTTGAGGTTGCATATCGTGATGACCCAAGCGAGCTATGTTAGCTGGAACATATGTTCCCGAAGGTTCTACCATGCCAGGCAGGTCGATTGGAGAACGATGAAACTAAAAGCAACTGCTCAAGATCTAAGGGCGAAGTCGTACTGCTGACTGTAGAGGGTTGTGACGGCAGTGAGGTGTTTCCCTCGGACGACCAACTTCTGCAGCGATGCTGCCTTCTCACAAGGAAGGAATGGTTAGAAAAGGTCGACCCTAAAAATGTCACACTCTCATCTTACCTCACGGATTTTCAACTCTAGTGGTAATGGCTTTCAAATCAAGAACGGAGCTAATGTTCTAAAATCCTCTCATGAAAAGGCCGTGCCTGACCGACCTGAAGCAGTTGTCCCTTGGACTCTGCAGTCACACTCTCAGGTCTCTAAGACCAAGACTGATCTATCTTCATTTCCAGGTTCCACAGGAATACACACTTCCACGATGTAGGCAGGCGGGAAGTGATATCCTCCCTCATACCCGTAACAGTACACGAAACCGAATCGGTCACAATCAAATCCTCCCTAAACCCCCTAACAACTCACTTATTTCCAAGACCAACCCTTCTTTCGATTGCTTGTCTCCCCGCACCACTGAAGAAACAGTTTGAGTTCACGAAAAGTTTATCCTGAAACCCCGCTCCAAACTAAATATTGGAGTTTTTATTGTTCGAACCTTGTGTTTACTTTTCATGTTTTTGGAAGCTCGGATGCTGTTTCTCTTGGCGTCGCTTTTATAGTATTTGGTTCTAGGTCAGAACAAGCTCTCTTAAACTGGATCCCTGTAGACAGTCACTTATCCGCTGTCCGACTAAACGGGACGGTACGATAGGGAAACTTGCAGTTGCCTCTTCGTC